ATCAGCTCCCCCACCACGTCGCTGAAATAAGGAAATTTCCCAGCCTAACAAGCGACAGCCCCCTGCAGGGACAGGGCTGGCCAACTGTGTATTATCATATCCGATCAATTCTGGCGAAGCAGCGCGAGAACGTGGTGCTTATGTTTATGGTTTGTTAGGCAGGTGTTAGGTTAGGTACTTTACTTCGTCACGAGATGAGCGTATTTTTTTTTTTTAATTTTTAGAATGAACATTTAAAAGATTCCGGTAGATTTTCCAATAATTTTTTTGTCTACTGGAATATCAATTCAATAGTGTGTAATTTTTTTGAATCTTATAACATTATTAACGAGTGTAATGGCGAAAACACAATTTGAAACATCCGTGTTCGGTATTCATTTAGGAAATACATCTGCATGTTTGGCATCTTATAAGGTAATGTTTTATAATTATGATTGTTTTCGCTCACATTTACGTTTATACGGGTACTCTTGCTATTCATTTTAACTTCTGACTTGTTTGTTTAGGATGGGAAAGCACAAATAATTGCAAACGATGTGGGTGATCGAATTACTCCTGCAGTGGTGGCTGTGACAGATACTGAAAAGGTATTAAACCATTAAATTATGAAAATTGTGAATTGTTTCTACTACTTCCCTTTTGCTTTCTTAAACATTTTGGTAACGTTTCTAGCGTTGTAAAAATGTTATTTGTTTTGTAGGTAGTTGGCACATCAGCAAAAGCAGGCATTGCCCGAAACAATACTTCAACTGTTGTACATAATAAGAGGCTGCTTAATAACAATGTAGATGATGAAACTCTTTCCAACATTGGAAATAAGACACCTTACAAGATAACAAAAGATGGGAATGTTCTAAAATATATCTTAAAGCATGGAGAAAGAACATTCAGTATAACACCAGAGTCTGTGGCAGTCTCTATATTCACCAAATTGTTTGGTAGGTGAATTGTATTATTTTTGCTTATTTTGGGAGTACATTTTCTCTGCAGAGGCAGACCTAGTCTTTCAGGTTCGGTGGAGGGTGGATTTGATTTTTCCCAGTACCTAAAAACATAGAATATTGAATTAAAATATGTTTAATTTGTTTTTTAATGGAAAAATTAGCAATGCATATGATTCCTTTTCATATGCTTAGAACCATTTTTTTCTGTGACTAGTAGAAGACCCTAATATCCATTCAATTAGATTTTCTTTTCAGGAAATGTTCGTGAAGAACCTAACTCCAGTCCCCAACCCTCCCTTCAGTCTGCGCCTGCAAGTACATTCCTAAATAAAGTATTGTAAATTCTAAACTAGTATTTTATCACACAGTTAACAAATGTTTCAGAAATAGCAAGTAGTTCTGGAAAATTTGATAATGATTTGAAAGCAGTTTTATGCTGTCCCTTGAATTATCCTCAGTCTAGTCGATGCACATTGATGCGTGCTGCAGAGGAAGCGGGCTTTGAGGTACTTCAGGTTATTAGTGAACCTGCTGCAACTGCTTTGGCATACTCAATTGGTGTCCAGAATCCAGAAGAAGAGCTGTGAGTTCATCATGGATTTATTAGAATATCATTAAAAATAATACCAAGTATCATTCAATTGATAATTATAATTCTTGTATCATAGGAAAGATAACTGTCATTGTTTGAAGATTATAAATTAAAATTATGGTAACAACTGCTGGTTTTTCTAAATTTTCATATTGCTGTACGAGTTTGTCTTGTAGAAATAAGAAAGATATATTTTAAAATTCTTCTTCTTGCCAAACTGCACTTCAACAGATATGATTTACACGCATGTGTGTGTGTGTGTGTGTGTGTGTGTGTGTGTGTGTGCTTTAAAGTAGAATATTGAAACAATTCAAAATCAATATGTTGTTTTTAAGATTTGAAAAATACTAGAATTTTTCATAAAACTAAAGAATTTTGTTGTAGATATAGTATCTTGTGTTTTCAGAATGTGTTTGGTGTACAGAGTTGGTGGGGCAACATTAGATGTGAGTATTGTAGAAGAGAGGTCAGGAATGTATTCAGTCCGTCAGTCAACACATTTGCCTGATCTCGGTGGTGATCGGTTTACAACTATGTTAGCTGAATATCTGGCTGAAGAATATAGAAAGTGAGTAACATTTACTGTTCGTAGATTGTGTATTGTGGGGTTAAGAGACATCTTGTCCTTTTTGGTCCGAGCCAAAGATATGCCAAATATGCTAAAAAATAAGGACCTTATTTTAATGTGTTAGGAGTTACTGTGATTTTTGAGGACTGTGATTCTTCTGCTTTATGCCTATTTTATAGTGAATTGAGTATTTTTTGTTCTAGGAAATGCAAACTTGATCCATTTGAAAGTAGACGTTCAATGGCTAAATTAACATCTGCTGCAGAAACTTGTAAACATGTGCTTTCCACAATGGGCACAGCTCATTGCTTTGTGGAATCTTTGTGTGAAGGAGTTGATTTTAGTTATAACATTACAAGGGCTAGATTTGAAAGTCTCATATCACCCATTATTCACCAGTATATCAATCCTATAAAAGAAATTCTGCAGAAGGCCAAAATGGAAAACAAAAGAATTCAGAAGGTACTGAAGCGTACTTTTTGCTTGTTTAATAGTGAAATATGCGTAAGTTAAGGAAACAAAGGCACTAAGTCGCTGACCTATCCCCAACGGAAGGTGGTGGTGAAAGTAAAAGTTCGCTCAATAAAGGGAATATGTGACAACTGTAGGTAAATTACCCAATATTATGTCTAAAAGGCTTTTATGGTTACAAAAACTATTAAAGAAAGAAAAAGAAAAAAATATTTATTCAAACTGAAATTTAAACTTCAATTCTACAGGTGAAAGTCTTGTTTCCCTTGGGCCACCATCATATGATTCTGGATATAGTGTTTATAGAATTATGATATATTTGTATCATCATTGTAGTCCAGGAAATTTTGTCTCAAAATTATGCCAAAACTACTTTTATAAAAAAATTCACCTTTTGTAATTTTAAAATTCCAAAAGAAAATCTTGTGTCAAAATTGCATTTATTTAACTGAAAATTACACGAAAACTTCTCATTTTGAAAAAAATTGTCTATAACCTTATTTATTGATCTCATTTTGAAGAACCTCATTAAGAAAATAATTTCTATCTTCATTTTTGTTTTTGATATTTTGTTTGCACATGAAAAAGTTCTACAATCACAAATTTGTAAAAGTTTAAATATGAACTTATAACGGATAACTGTCAGTTTATGTGTTTAATGAAGTGGATGCTGATTATACTACCTCCATGGAGCAGACTATATCTGTCTCTCTTTATCTGTCTCAAATTTTGCATATGGACAGGCAGTGAACACATTTGCAGTAAGTGTAGTTTCACCCCCTCCTTCATGTATCCTTTTGCGATGAACTGACAGAGCTATGGCCCCTTGAAATAACCCTGAACGCTCAGGGTTTCAGGCTTAGTTTTGATCCGTGTTTTAGTTTGCTTTGTCAGTTATCTTAATTCTAAATGATTTATCAGGTTTACGGTCATTTGAAATCCCTTGCCCCAAGAACATTAATGATCTTTATATGGTGTGTAATATGTAAAAAAAGTAAAAATAGAAAATATATTAAATATAAATATACAATAGGGTTTAAAATTGATATAAGCATTATTCAAACAAAACTTGGCTAAGTAGTCCTTAAAATGGATTCATAGTGGCAGATTAATTTTCTATGCCTACAGAAATAGAAAATGCGTAGATAATGTTCAGTGTTGTGTACAAGGAGCGTGTGGCATGTAAATGATTGTTCTGTGTTGACAGTGATGGATCTCAAATCCAAAATTTTTTGTTATTGAACTCAATTGAAAATAGTTACTGCATTGAATGCATTACATTCCAATAGGGGTATTTCAATGAAGCCCAAGTGAGACTATATTTCTTGAATAGGTTCCACATTGGATGCGGGGAGTGCAATAACTAGGACTCTGAAATGAATGTCAAATTTCAATTTTCATTTCAAATTTTTGCATTGGTTGTATAAAGCATAAGCAAGCACCTTGTTGCACATACCTGTTCATACTCGTTTTCTGCATTGTGTGGGCAAGTTTGATTCACAGCAAAGGCTCAGAGGTATGTTTTATCAGAAGAATAATTTCAGGAAAAGTAGTGACAAACTCTTATCTGAGATGCTCTATCATGTTAGTCTTTTTAATTATAATGAAATATGCAAGAAACGTGTATGAAACTTGTATTAGTTAAATATGTCGTAAAGATGGGTTTTAATTTAGCCATAATGTTTCACAGAGTTTTAAAAACATTGAATGAACGTAACTTGTACCTGTAAAATCTTGCATGAATTCATTCACTACTGATAACCTCAATTTCTGTAATTTTTGTACGAGTCAAAATTTAAATTAGTGTGAATGTTGATATTACCCACTTTCTGCTGCTTTCAATACAAATTTTATAGTTGTATGATAAAATTTGTGCAGCATTTCGATCAAGTTTGGAGGGATTATAAGATATGTATTTTGGATGTGTGAAATGAGGGTTAACATTGTATTGCCCCAATCCCTTTAATTGTGAATTTACTGTGAATCTATTGCTGTTTCCCTAATAACTATTGCAATTCCCTTCATTTCCACATCCTTCAATTCCAGAAGTCAGGGTACTTTGGTGGCCTGAATTTAACTGTGAACGTTGTGTAAGTTGATAGTAAGTATGTTTTACTTAAAGTATTGTTACAGGTGCTACTTAGTGGTGGATGCGTAAAAGTCCCCAAATTACAGCAAGTTCTGCGAGAAGTATTTCCTAATGCAGAATTTGTCAATAGTCTCAGCCCTGATGAAGTAATTGCTATTGGAGCTGCTAGGCATGCTAGTTATTTGTCAAGTGCCATTGATACTGAATGTCAGCATTTATGGCGTGAAATTCCAGCTGTGGCCGCACCCATATTTTTTAGGGTGAGTTACTCTAGCTGTTGTTTCTTCATGTCCTTGTTTAATTTTGATAATACGAGTAAGATAGATGTAAGATACTTGTTTATTAGTGAACTTCTAGGGATTGGATGAACAAAGAGCAAAATCTCTTGATTACTTATAATGAAAGCATGGTGACCAATTTCTAGAAAAACAAGGACATCAAAGTGCTAAAATTTCTGTCAAACAGCTCGTCTCATAAAAAATTGTCATTTAATATGATACTTGGCTTGTAGTGTTGTGGCAAGTCGTAGAGAAGGAATGGCCTATTTGAATACACTTGCCCAAAGTATATCACACGAAGTTTTTAACGATTTTTGACTTTTTGATAATAAACAAATAAAAAAATAAGTAAAATGCAAAGTGTAGTTACCAGTAAAATTATGTAAGATATCTTAGTGAACGAATCACAAGCAATAATGATCAGTTCTCAGGAGTTGGCAATGACAGTGGTAATATTCCAAGAATATTTATTCTTGCTCATTACTTTGCTTATTAGTTAGTGAAGTTCAAATTCTTGGCTGAAATTTCATTATTGGAACGGGTTGTGTAATGAAAGATGTCATTTGTATGAAAATGTTTAACATCCATACATCTGTGAAGATGTCTTTCCTTGGTGCTTAAATCCTTATACCAATATTACCTTACCATTATCTATGTAAAGGACAAAATGCTGAGATGCTAACTATTAAGGATAGCCTTTTCTTTCCTGACTGATAGTCTTTTAGTATTTAAACCAGTGTAATGATATTGTAATTATGTATTTTATGATTTAATTTTATGTAAACCAGATAGATACTTTAAAGGGAGTTAATAATGTTTAAGCGGTCATTTGAGGGTAGAGATGAGGCATAGTCAATTTATTAATTAATATTTTTTTATTACTCAAACAGTTTACAAATATAAATTTTGGTGTTTTATTAACCCTTTGGTTTTCAAACATATAATATGACTGTCTAAAATAAAACTGGACAAAGAAATCTATGTAAAACCCAAAGAGTCAGAAAATAGTGGAAGATAGCAAATATCTGTCATCAGTTCTTTTAAGTTAACAATTCGAGAAGCAGATATGTAATACATTTGATGACCTTAAGATCCACACCAACAGATTTAAAAAGAAAATTATTATTATTAAAATTAATGTTTCATAATTAAACTGCAAGTCATTTCACCTGAACACACTTTTTAGTCTTGCTCATTAGACATTTTAAGACTGAAATGTAGAAAATACTAAAAAATTATTCTGGCAATCAGCAGGTATCATATAAAGATTTGAAAGTTGAAAGAACTGTAATGAATAAAACAAAAGTGTTGAATAAAATAAATGTAACTGCTCTTAATAACCAGCTGGGTCTGATAAGCATTGTACTATGTGTGAAAACCAAATCCCCTTTTCTTCTGTGAGAACAACATTACACATTACAAAAATGTTTACTACTATATTGTGGAGAGATAGGGAATTGTAATAGTGGTAGTTTTCATTTTCAAAATTCTCTTAATAATATAATACTATTGAAAGTATTGAATGGGCCATGGCTAATAACAAAACAATGAACTTGGACAATTGAAGGAAACTCAGCAATTGCCTCATGTTTACAGAATTTGTTCCATATGTTATTTGTTCGATATTGTTCTAATGGTTTCGGTTATTAAATGAAAATGTGTATGTTGCATTTCTATGGGAGTGAAATATGATGTGATTTTCTTACTAAAAATAGGGTAATGGCATTGACGAGCAGTGCATCATCCGAGGAATGACACCAGTTCCTGTTAGAAGATGTAAAAAATTTTTTGTGGAACCTGCAGAGGAGGCTTTTGTAGAACTTGTGGAAATTCCTACAGATGTGCCGACAACTCGTGGAATATTAGGAAAGGTATGTACATTTTTTTAAAGAATTTTTCAATTGAATATTTTTTAGTATACAATCAAATCACTTACTCTCTAGATTAGTGTGAATAAGCCTTGGATTTTTATGCAATTGTAATTGCACATTCACGTGTTTAGTTAAAGAAGTCCAGAGTTCTACTTTATATCTGATTTGGAGTTCCTCTAGATGCTTGTTACAAACTTTAATTTTATATATTTTACTATTAGTAATACCTTACACGGCATATTCTGGGGTACATTGGTAAAATTTGTCCTTATAAGTTCGTTCTTTGGTCTTTATTTTGGGAAATGCTGTTAACCCTTAACCTCTTCACTGGGCAGATGAAGAAACAAGTCATGAGAATTTTCTTTGTATTTGTGGTGCAGATGTTTGCACATCATCTTGCTTAGAAAACTCAGCAGCTGTGAGCAAGCCTGTATATCTGTTTTGTCACTATGAACGTGTATATATTGTAGCATATCTCGCATTTGTGAAGCGAAGTAATTTTTCTGAAAATTTCTGTTGTAGGATCGTGTATTGATTGTGAAGTGGATAAGTTATGTTATATTCAGACATATCCCGTTAGAATTATATTAAATATTTACCTTTGGTTCTAATTCCCCTTTCAAATTGTAATTTTTTAAGTGAAATTTGGTTTTCTTGAAGGGTGAATCTGATCATGTGAACTTACAGGAAAGTTATAACACCAACAAGAAAATCCAACTAGTCCAAAAGATTTGCTTAATGCTTTGAGAGCAGAACAGTAAAAACAAGTTGAGTTCTCAGAAAGAGTCGGAGGAATGTGATATTCCTTACATTACTTTGAGTGATAAAGTCAAGAATAAATAAGTAAACCTAAAATAAGTGATCAGCCAGCTTTAAGCAGCAATGTGGAGAGAAAATCTTGCTGAGGAATTCATGTATAATGCCAAATTGGGCTTTTCTATGAGGAATAAAGATCATAGAAATATTGTACAGGCATATCTTAACAGTGAAATCTGTTAAATGGTGTCGTAGGCTTCCGCGGCCAGAGTCATTATCTGTCCTGCTCAGGTGATGCAGTGTCGAAGGGTGTGGTGCCGACGTTTCAACCAATATTTTACGGTCTTCTTCAGGGATGTACTGCATCAGGATTCCCCCCCCCTCTCCAGTTGCCCTGGAAAGTGGGAATTTTTTTATCAATTTGGGTTCAATAGGCTGCAGCCGATTAGGTTTATGCAGCGATGGTTCATACCTATCTTAAATACACTAACTTATAATCTAAACTTATTAACTAATGTGCCAGGATGTTGGGCACTAAGGTTTATATAGTAGGTGGGCCAGGTTGTGATTTGCTTAGGTAATCTGCCAATCAGGCGGGGCCATGCCAGGTTGTGGTAGGGTGAGGTGTTGGCCGATCAGGCGTAAAGGAAAAGGAGGTGGGGGAATGGACGGACAGGAGCTCCAGTGACCTTCTTCTCTGCAAAGATGTGAGCCACTCATCGTGGAGACGTAGCAAAAGTGTAAGCTGTGTTGGAAAACGATTTCATGACAGCCAACCTGGTCTTGAATTGACAAGAGAATTTCTAAGGAAAAAGGCAAATCTTGCCTCAGAAATGAAGGGGAAAAGTAAAACACCTCAGCACAGCACTAACGTGATCTATTGTCAGAAATTACTTCATGAATCTTGAAATGTCTTTGAATGGTATCCCTGCTTCTATAATCATAAGAGCATTTTTTGTGATGACCCTGGTAAAATTAAAGTACATTTAAGCAAGATATTATACATCCCAAAAGAATCATTGGTAAATCAAAAACCAAGTATAAGTAATATTAATAGTACCTGTTGCAGATGACAGTGTTACCACTATGTGTAGAAAGCATGTCAAAACATATGTGCAAAAGCTGGGACTGAAGGTGGTTTTAGTGGAGCTGCTTATAATAGAATTCACTGTAGTTGGTTTGATCTTTCAATGTACGAATGTTGGTTTAGCCAAATTTTGTTACCATAAACAAAGAAGTTGGAAGGACTGAAACTGATCACAAGGAACAATCTTTCTAGCCATTCTGTCATTTATGGTGATTCAAGTGTGTCAGAAGTATGATATTAGATTCAATGAAATTTACAAATCTTGTACGTAACCTTGTAATTCTATGCACTTGTCAACCACTTGAAGTAGTGTTTATCAGGCCACTAAAAATTACTGGGAGGAGCATGGTGGACCAATGGAAAAAGAAAACCAGGAGAGCAATACAAAAATCAGGATGTTAAAGATTACTTAAAGAAACCATCGAAAAAATATCTATTTGTTCTAAATCTAACATCTTGGCAGGGTTCAGGAAGGCAGGAATTGTCCCATTTTGTCCTAATAAAAATATTATTACAAATTCCATATGAAGTAGAACTAGTTGGTGCAAGTTGAGGAGATGAGTTCTGGACTGCAGTGTTAAAGATGCAATTAATGCAGACATGTTGTGAAGAAGCAGTTGCCCTTGCAAAATGCTTGGCACTGACTTGGGCTAAGGCATTATCAGGTTTTTTGTGAGTGTGATGGTGATGAGAGCTAAGAAATGCTGGTTACTTCTATATTCTCCCATGTAAGTGATGAGGAATACTTTGATGAAGTAAACAGAAAAGATGAAGACAAGGAAGAATTAAAAGCAAGACTAGACATAGTAAAATTCTATTCTAAGAAAATAATTAGATATTACATTGAAGGATTGACCATGATGATGGTAATTATGAAATGAAATTTTTAAGGAAAAAAGTTGCAGATAAAGGTCAGTTTGTCTTTCCAAAAGTTGATGATAGAAGTAAAGTAGAAGAAACGCTAATAGTTTACAAGTTTATACCAGAGTTGGCAAGATGGTGGAAATATATTTTAAGTAATATTGATGATTACAATATGGACATTTTGTTAAAAATTATTACCACCTATAAAAATAAAAATAAAATAAACAACTGGTTTTACAAATATGCTATCGGATTTTGAATTTTAATACTAAATAAATACATTAGCAGTTGGAAACTGATCAACCATGAAGTGTTTTTGATGAGTACCCCATACAGATAGTAATAATTAAATTGTTACATTGGTGACCCAAAAGGTCCAATATTAAATGGTGAATTTCAAGAAATATCTGAAATTTTTCATGGGAATTACCCCTCATTTCAGTACTTACAGAAGCTCTCCAGAGCATTTCAAAATTTACCCAATAATGACACCAAATTTTTTCGCTTGAATGCGAAGATTTAACTTCATATCTTTCACATTTTTACTGCAAATTCTAAGGAATGTGTCAACATTTTATACCGCGTAGAAATCAGGGCTGTAGTCATAGCTATGTAAATGTAATTCCAACTTTTTACACTTTGTTAATAATTACTTTATTTTTAGCTGTCTTTGGGACAAGTACTTACACAAGTTGAAGTTTGTCTGGAAGTTAGTGTGAATAGGTGAGTATTGAACTTAATCCTTTCTGTTTGAATATATTTGACTTTATACCTGATTTATTTAGCTTCATATTTGATTTTTATGTCCAGTAAATATTACCATAATTGTTAAGTTTTTCTTTGAATGTATTTTTATTAGTCAGATATCATCTTATAGGGAATTGCCTCTGAAAATATTTCGATCACATTGAGAACCCTAATGCTAATACTCAATCCAATTGATCTCCGATTTAATACGTTTGCATTTCTGCAATAAGTTTTTCATGCATAAAAGTAAATCATTTAATCTATTAGTTTTTCCAAACATCTTGCGTTAATAACAAATTGAATTGATTAGCAACCTTGGAGGTGCTGTTGACCTTTCACAAATTTGGCCCATTGCTAGAATTGAATATATCAAATGTCTTTGAACCAGGATTGGCTAAATTTTCCACTGCCCAAAAAAAACAACCCAGGTTTATTTTTAAAAAATTGAAATAGAAAAAAAAAGAACACGAATAAAACTCATTGCAATGTTTTAATAATTTTTAAATTATTTCAAGTAAAATAACAAACCTCATAATTGTATCCATTGAAATACAGTAAAATGTTATTTATGCTTTTTTCAGGGGAGTGAAAGGAGGGAAACATTTATAAGTGAGAAAAATGCATAACTGAAAATGAATATCTAGGAGCAAAAGGAAAGCTCAATATTTTGACAAAAATGTTGCGTTAGAAAATAACATACATATAATATTCTCAGTATATTACATTTTTAAGTAAGAAAGTTCTCACTTTTGAAAAGAGTCCGATATTAGACCATTTGATATTTCTGCATCTTAAGTATAAATTTCCTCTGCAAAATGTGACAACTATCACCATAATTGCCCACATTGCTCAATTCCTCTGTATTTCATACAAAAAAGCCAGATACTTACTGTGGAATCTTGACAAAAATTTCACAAAGCTATACAGAGCGTCATGCTAACTTTATGCAAGTTGTACTGGGCAACCCACAAACATAATGCAGAGCCATTCCAGGCAACACATGAACATTTTGCCTAGCAGTACCAGGTGACATGCAAAGAGTACACAAAGCCACAGGGACTAGCATTATTATCCTTGCACCCTGTTTTGTTCAATCTCCACAGTTCCTATCAGGTTCCAGTGGAAGGTGACCTGACTTTGCCTATCAAGAAACTAAGCAACCTGCACACTGGACCAAACCCTGATTCCTTGGGCTCCTCTAGTGTGACATTATCTATCTCTTACCAGTCATAAAAGAAATAAATGTAGAATGTATATCTGAAATAATTTAACTTGGGAAGTATAGGAATTTAGCAGGGGCTGACAATACAGGTATGTGAAAAAACATTCAAGTGTAAAACATGTAAATGGAGTTTTACTGTATTAAATTTTGTGACAACAAATGCATACCAACAAGTACAAAACGCAACATAAGTACAAAATAAAATAAATTGACAATAGAATACAAACTTCATTAGGCTTATTGACCCAAGTACAGAATAAACTTATAGTTAAAAAAAACTTGTTTTGCAAATTTCCTACACGTTACTCATTTGTTACTATATTACCTAAACAACAAAAAAGTATTTTTACTGGTAAAGAGCATGTGAGTTTGGAATAGTAGAACTGGAGAGGGTATAATCCTGGCATGTACCTTGTATTTCAGTTCAAATGCTAGCAAGGGGCCAAAATGTCAGTGGACAACCTAGTGTGGGTATATTTGGGTAAATACAGTAGTATCATTTTAAACGTATAATTTTAAAATGTTTCCATTTTTTACTAGTCATTATTTACTCACTATTTTATGACAAAACTGTGTTTGACTGCTTTACTTCAGCACTGAGTGGGCTGGTATTGTGATGATGGCTTAATTGTATTCTTCATTGTTTTGATGAAGTCAGTTGCTTTTAGTATTAAAATTAGTTTAGAATAAAATTCTATTTCATTATTTTGGAAAGAATATATCAATCTGACATACCTCAACATTGTGTTCTGTGATATTTGTTTTCAATATATATTCAATGCTTTTAGCCCTTCATGTTCAAATTTGTTATAAACATTAACCCATTTATTTGTTTTTCAGTGTTGGCGGACTCAGTGCTGTTCTAACAGATAGTTCTGGTCAGAAGAAAGCTACCTTAAAACTTGACCCACCACAAGAATAAAGAAGTTTTTTAACAAATGATTCAGCAATGTGCTCAATCAAATATTCCATTTAATATCAAACAAAATGAAAATTCTGTAAATCAGCTCACTGGAAAATCAGTAATGTTAATTGTTATGTATTTTTTTTTTTTTTTTACTGCAAGTAAATTGCACAAAAATTGCAGTGATATTAAAATTGAAGGTTGCTCTTACAAATCAATATATCTGTTTTTCTTATCGTTTGAACTTTGGATGAAGAGAGTTATGATTCCAGAAAAATGTTGAAATATATATATTCACACAGAAATTTAAATGGTTGAAGCTTAACAGTCTAAAAAATTTACACCTGAAGAATCAATAAATCCACACTATTTACGCATTACATTCATTTCTCTGTGACAAAATATGCAAATCAGTTCTTTTCTCAGGAGAATTATTTTGTCATATATACCCTCAGTTTAGGAATGGTGCTCCTGTCCTACTGTTGGATAGTAAAGTAGTATTCCTTCTCGTGATGAAGTGTTCCTGCTGGTGCCATCTTCTAGTCAGTTTGTGTCTATCCCTCTGGCCATTCAGTCTATAATTTAATGCCATTTATGGTAGATGTAATTCCATTCTTTTTGTCTTGTTTTCTCCATTTCCTTGGTTATTTCTTCTGCTAAGTTTCCTGTTTTCAGTTCTTTCCTAATTGTTTCATTTTGAATTTTGTCCCATGTTACTCCTAACTCCTAGGAACTGCATCTGAGCTACTTCTATGCTTCTGGTTTCGTTTATGCCCATTATTCACATTTCTGAGCCATACTTTAGCATTGATTTTGATATAATATGGATTCTAGTTTCTTTTCTCATATACTCATATCTTTATTATTCCATTGTTTCTATTATATTTTTATATTTTTTCTTCTATATCCTTCTGGTTCAGTCCATTCGAATTTCCGAGATATTTTAAAGTGGTAACTTGTTCAATTATTGAATTTTCTATTACTGTTTTGGCTCTAAGATAATGTGGGTCCATAAGAATTATTTTATGATACAGTATAATGCAAGTATGTCATATAGACATTTATTTTTTGGTGCCCTAAGTTTTGTCTACATTTTGCGAGACAATGTCACTACTAGCATTGAAATTAGGAAAAACTGTAAACAGCACATACATAATAAATATTGCATGATTATGCGTGTTTTGTGCTTGATTTCATGATCTCTGCAACGAAAGAAAACTTTTGTTCCAAAAGGTTTTGAGCCATAGAAAATGTTTAATAAGATACTATCCTACGTCACACATACAGTTTTTCTGAGAGGGAGGGGGAAGAGAGGGAAAGAAAAAAGAATAAAAGGTAGTTTTATTTTTATTTTATTTTAAAAACGCGATATGTTACATTATATTTTGCTGAAAAATGAAAAGATTTAACAAAATTATGATTTTCTACATTGGTTTAAATGGGTGAACACTCTAGTGTTGAAAGATGTTTTGAAATAATGAATTTGAGAATTGCTGGTAGAAAAAATGAATCATTGTAAAACATATACCACAGAAATGTCCAAAAGTATAAGCAATTCTTTTCACTGCATATTGTTCCATAGTAGGCCATTTCGTATACTGTCAAAGGATCATGTAACATAGTTCCAAGAAACGCCCGTACATGTCGTGGACATGATAATTGCCTATAGAAAAAGCTTAAATATTTCTTACAAGCATGTGCATGTCAGCTCTAGGTTGTTATGGGGCCATAAACTATACCATCGTGTGCATTTGGTAGTTACTCTAGGTTTTAGGCAGTCCTACGTTCAAAGCCACAACAAGGTACCTGAAATCAACTATGCATTGGAACTCGTTCCTGGCAACAGTGCAATTGAAGAGCCTGGTATTTCAAAAGTGTCCTGTGTATCATCTCATTGCTGAATTGAGTTCTGATGAAGAAACCTCCTCGTCCTCCTCCTCTTCTCCTCGTTCTCCTCTTCTCCTCGTCCCCCTCTTCTCCTCGTCCTCTTCTTCTTCTTCCTCCTCTTCTTCTTCTTTTTCTTCTTCCTCTCTTTTTCCAATAGTATGAAAAATAATTTGAAAATTGAGATTTGGCACTTTTTTTTAAATAGAGCTTCAATTCTGTATTAAAAATGATTCAAAAACTGTTTACAAATTGAAAATCTGACCATATTTTGAAACTTCATTATTAATTAAATTTTTGCTTATTTTGGTACTGCTGTGAGGTGTCAACTTCAAGTATTGGTATGTTTAGCCATAAAATTCATTCCTGAAATGAAAATTGTTAATCTTTTAGTAAACTGCAATTGTTATAAAATCTCAGAATATCCTGGTTGAACTAAAGGTGAGAAGTCTGACTGATAACACACCTGATAATTGGAAAACTAGGGGAACTTCAACAGCACGTACTTTTTCACATTTCTAATTTTTGCATTCTTCGAAATTCAGAGATCAATGAAAATGAGGCTTGTGCCTTTCTTTCAAGGGTCAGTTGTAATATCAATGGGGAAAAAATGAAGGATTTTTTGGTACATTGCATTAATTTCAAGGAAAAAATACACGAAAATACTAGTTTTCTTTTTTTTAATTATACAAGACTTTTTTAAAGATCTGAGCGTTACTTTCCCTTGTAATGCTGAAAAAACCGGCGAATTTTCAACAGAAAAACACTTATTGTTGGGCCCTGGTAAAGAAAAGAGGATAAATCTTGTAGCTGTATATAGTAAATTGCTTCCTCGAAATATTGGGTCGTCGGAACCCATGTTTTAAAGTTCTCGATTCCGAAAAATCAATTGACGGCAAAACACCTGCCTCTATAAAAAACGCTAACGGCTAAACCGTTAGGTCGATTTTCTCCAAAATTAATATTCCCTCATCGGTCTGGCTTGAATTTGAAACTCACATTATAATATTGAGGAGTACTTTACATGAGGCCCTTGGGTCATTTTAAAAAGAGGTTCATTTTTTTAAATTAAGTTTTCTTGTCGAATAGCGAATGTACTGCTTAAAAGAATGGCGCGGGTCACATTTTGTTTAAATTCCCTTCTTTTTCGAAAATTGCAAAAGTTCAATATTTAAAAAAAAAATTGTAGCCATTTTTGAGAATTATGAAAATGTTGGTTTCATATAAAGTACCGCCCATAAATACGTTTAAACATAAATAACGTTTAAAACGTGTATTTTACTACAGTGTGTTACGTTGCCTTTTGTTGTTTTTTTTTTTTTTGTATGTTGCCCATTTTGACCCGTTTTTAGTCAAGAAAGATGCACAATGTCCCTTTTTTTGGTTTTAAGATCTGGTTACCTTACGCAAAAGGAAGCAATTATTTTTACTGAAACTTTTGTTGAAGTAAAACTACAACCACTTTTAGACCACAGTTACACGTACGTATTTTGAAAGCTCAGTTTTGGCAATTAATGTTTTCAAAAAATTAGGAAAATTGCGTTTGTTAAGTAAATAGGGATTTGACGAAATACATCGATACCAATAAAAACAGAATTTACTTCAAACCCCGAAACAACTTATGCAAGTATTTTCATTACATCATTAATGCCCCCCGCAATTGACTTAAGAAAATATGGAATGAAATATAATATGGCGAAATAAAAGATGTCCAAAAAGGTTTTGTAGACTTATCAGATTTCACTTTGATCAGAATCTCCCTGATCTTTCCAAAAATGAAAAAACTCCTTTAGGTAATCAAATAATGCATCCTACAAAAACTGAGAAACCAAATCCGATTGCGAGATGAATACCATAGTGAAAATCAAAAATGATTTATTTGGAACATTTAGATACACCATCCAGCTACTCCTCTACATAGTCGCTACTTCTCTACATATATACTCTCTGGTCGCGACCCCGGCGTGGTGCCAACTTTCCTGTACCCTCGTCAGACAGCTGCCTGTTCTTTCAGCCAATTCTCTGCGCTGGTCTGCAGCTCGTTGTCTGTGCCAAAATGCTCTCCTATCCAGCGTTTTATGTAAGCAAAGAGATGAAAATGTAAGGAAGTGACAAAAAAATTAACATTCGAACTATTTCAACTTAGTGAAGAAAATATGATTAAATGTAATAATCAAATAACCTTTCCTTTATGGATACCAACCACTACATTTACGAGATACATTAAGAAAAAACGTGTAACTTTATCATAAATTACCATCATGAAGTTTTAGTCTCTCGCATATTATATATGAAGTAAAGAGAGAGTATTGTAATGCTGCAGCAAAACGTGGCGATTTTTCGATAGAAAAAAACTAATATCGTGAGTCTCTGATACGAAAAAACTTGATAATTAGTGCTCCTACAAAATTATATGGGAAAATAAATTAGTTCTAATACGTTGTGTAGAAGCCATGTTTTGGGTGTGTGCTTTGATACCGAAAAATTGGTTTACAACAAATCGTCTATCTGTTCGTCTGTGGACAACACTAGCGCCTAAACCATTCATAGGATTTTCTCCAGAACTGATTTTCCATATCGACCTTGCCGAACTCGTGATCATGTTAATTTGACCCAAATATTTTATTTTTGGTATGCGAAGTGCATGTGTAATTCGGGAGTACTTTACACGAAGCCTCAACGACATTTTCAAAATTTTCTAAAAAGTGTTCCAATTTGTTTTTTCAAAAACCTGGCATGCACACATTGGGCCGTGCCCCTCCTATAAAATTTTGGAAGGAGTATCCTAGTCCTTCGCAATAAAACATATTTTCGTAAATACGTTCAATCTCTGATTTTTCTATGATTTATCCTGAATATGGGGAAGGACATTCAGGAAAAAGATTCTCCAGGCCATCTGGCAACCCTGATAATGATTCAATATAAAATGTATTAATTGGGTCATAAAATTGTAATTTCGTTCTTGTAGCATGTTTTACTAATTTTCTAGTAAAATATGCCACGTATAAACAAAAATGCTTAATTGTACAGGGATCAGAAATGTGCTTGGATCCCCCATTGTTATAGGTTGCACACTCCTATGGTTATGAAACATTCACAAGAGGCTTCATTAAGTTATATTTAGCTCTGTTGCTCCTTGACATTGCGATTTTTCCTTTTTGTGTGCATGCGCACGTGTGTATATATGTGTGCCCGCGAGCGCGTGTGTGAGGTGCGAGCGTGCTTGCGTGCGTGCGTGCATGCATGCATGTAGAACTTTGATTTTCCAGTGTGAGAAACTTATTTCAACGAAATTTTATTCCGAAAAATTCATTTTTTGTTCTATACAGTTTATTCAAAAGTGCGTTTTATACAAGATTGTTGAAAAATGTCTTTGGTAACACCATGGAAATTTCTTTTCGGTATCAATTGGAGTGCGAATTTTCCGCCTTCGTTTTTTTCCTTTGAGTTTCACATCGCCTTTCCTTTCTCTCGTCTTGCTGAGGACATATACTTTCATTTAATGCTCTAAATGACAGACATATTTAAACGCAAGGATCCTCCTGAACGCATCACTCAGTGATGTGCGTTTACGTGTTAAGTTCCAGTCCACGCCAATCTGTAAACAATGAATAGTCAACGTACTTTACGTAATCTAAATTGTCAAAGATAATTATCATTTTGCGAAGGGAGGAGAGGTTAGAGACTTCTGATCAAAAGTCAGAGCGCACAATGATATTTACAAAATACAGAGCGATTACATATTAGTTGAAATTAAACAAAAATATAATGCATTGGAGATTTTACAAAGTGGGTAGATTGTTGTAGTGTATTCCTATAGTAACATCTTATTACAATAATTAAATAGTTGTCAAACTCGGCCAAAGAAAATTTTTTAAGTTACCTAATATGTCCCAAACTACATTAAATATTACATAGTTTTAGCATCATATTTTAGCACTTAAGAGTTCTGCTAATCTGGTTGATCGAAACTTTCTTATTATACTCATATCTATAATACTATTTTCCAGTGCATGCAATTGTAAGAAAATTATGCAGCTTCCGTATTTTTGAGTGGTATCTATGATTTCATTAGATATCTAGGACCTCGGGGGAAAATACAAAAACTGTGGAGCAGTTTCAATTTTCACTGAAAAATACAAATATTTGAGTTAGTCCATGTTTCATATTGCGCCTACCGACTGATTTCTCATTACTAAATGCGTCACTTCTTACAACACAGTTGACGTCATGAGGCAAGACTGAAAGGAAGTAGCCGTCCACGATCAAATACTTGTATTTACTATTCAGCTGTTGCGTTAAGAAACTACATTTTTTTGTATTATTGGTATGTAAAGAACTGTTGTACACAATGTCATTGCAGTGGTCGAGAAAACTGTTTCTTTTTTTTTAATTTCAATATTTAATTTGTTGTATTATATGAGAGTGTCTTTGTTCTTTTTGAGGAATGTGCGTGTTTCTTTTTGTTAAATCATTTTGTGCGTTTTTGTTCAGCAGAATTTTTGCTGCAGAACTAGTTTTGTTATTCTTGCAGAATGAATAAAATATCCGCTAATGCTACTCTTATTACATCTTATAATAACATCTTTGGGATTATTTTGTGTAAAATATTCAATAGTCTTCAAAGAGATTACTTTGGCTACGTAGTCTATATGTAAAACCTCACGAAGATTACGTGTAGGAAACGTGTAAAGACTCGAATTATAGTCTACAGCCCAACCTTGTTTGACTTCCTCTGTTTTCTCCGTGTCTAGAGGCTGTGTTGACTTGCGGCATTGGATCGACGGACCGAAACGTAGTTGCAATAGGACCTGCTGTTTTCGGTCACGCCTGACGGGAAGCGATCAGATTGATATCCATGAGTCAAAAACTCAGGAAGAATGAGTTGCCTTGGCGACTATGCCAAATATGCTCGCAGCAACGCAGCGAAAGAGGAAAGTAAGTATGTCTTTTTAGTGAATCAAAATGGCCGAAAACAACAATAGGAACTGTATTAGAGCTACTATGTAAATAACGAATTGAAAATTGTGCCATTGCAATAGTGAAAATGTTTCTTCGCAAGAACACAGTTTTTGAACTTTTTATCCCGGCTTCTTATCCGAAGTTAAGTATTTTCCTCACCCTTTTTTCTATGATAAATATACTTCCTAAATTGGATTGTTATTCTGCCTAGGGGCTACCTTAAATGTGCTTTCTTATATCTATCTTTCCTTTAATTTTCCGTAGAAGTAAATGCATAGACTCGTTATATTTTATCACCTTAAAACATATTAAATCAGCTACGCAGATTTATTGTTTTCATATTTCTAGATCGATTGAGAGAGTGACGTTTAATTTAATTCTTCGAAACATGTTGATAACGAATTTATTGTTTGCAGGGGCAGCTCATCCTTAGGTTGCATAGTTGTACAACCCCTAGATCATCGAAAAATATTTTATATGTTAGGAATAAACATTGTTGTTTTAATGGCATTCAATATTCAAGATATTGCGGCAATATCAATGTATATGAAATCATTTTGAACCAAAGAGCGCCCAACAAGCCTTCTCTCCGGCGTTTGGTGCTCTCCCACACCTCGTACCATGTCACGCTCTTGAGTATATTTCTGCATTTTCTTTTTAGCTTTATGCTTCAATACAGGGCTCAATAGGTCCTTCGATTGCACAACTAATGGGTAGGGGTCTTGTCGCCGAGCGCTGTGCGGCGTTCGAGGGGAATATCAATTTTCAGTCTTCATCTGACACTAGCTGTAAGTTAATTTTATGAATTTCACGCGTATTAACGTTCAGTCAATTATTGACGGTATTGAGTGAATTATTTAAGATATTTAGAGAATTTGTTTTCGTTTGACATTGGGTTTGTTGATTAAAAATGTACAATTGATGACTTCTTTGTGTAAAGTTGGCCGTTGTGGAAGGAAGTACCTCTCTATCTCATTCGGTGGTAGCATATTTTCGGCTGCAGTTACATTCTGAGAGCGCTGGTGTGTGTAGAAGGATCTTTTAATATTATAATATATACCAGGGAAGGGAAATTTCTTGCCTTTTCTGTTATGAACCTCTCGAAGATTGTTAAGGCCCCTATACACGTACCAATTTGTCGAGCCGACCGGCCAGTCAAACCGACAAATTACATCGTGTGGAGGCAAGTTGTCCAACAGAAATTTTTGTCATCTTGATTCATATAGTGGAGATGTAAAAGCGCCCTGGGCCGCTGTCGCCTCGGTTTACAGACACGACTGTAATCTCGCCGGCGAGAATGAAAAAACGGGGAGCTTTAAACGAATCGGCATTCAAAACTTAAAAATACAGACGGAAAATATATATTCAGTATCTAATAATATAAAATAACCTGTGAAATAAATTTGATAAACAATGCTAGGAATAAATGGCGATGGTTGTTTAAACCCGCAACCGAACCAAGAACTACCCCGGTGCAGATCTGCCTGTGGAACTGACCGGTTGTGAATACAAATGTGTGAGTGGAAGATCCTTCATTAGTACAATATGTTCTAGGGTAGTGAAATGTTCGAAATAAAATAATTTTATTTGTGTAGGACTAGTCCAAAGTAGTACTTAACGCAAAGTGCGGTAACAGTTTTTTCAAAATCAAGTTCTGTTTTGTTTTGGATGAATTCTATTACCGTTAATTGTCTCAATGCGTAACTAATACAAAAACTCGGGTGCCCGCTAGAACCACGCGTGCGGGAGGTAAATTACCTAACACGGACATTACGCATAACATTATGTAAGTAATGTACTGTTCGGCAAAGAAGCACTTAGGCATAAAACACATTGCACACACTCGAGGTTGTTTCGAGTGAATGGCGAAGGCTGATAGTGGCGGCCTCGACAGGTACCGAAGCGACAATTATGCCCTAAAAGTATTATAAGACACCAGTTCGTGTGAGTTGTCTTCCTTCATGTTTTCGCATTGGGAGTCGATACTTTCACGCGGAGCACTATAAAGATGAGAGCCATTTATCAATCAATTGAAATATAAAAGAAACTCTGGGCGAAATACAAAAATACAAACTTATTTGAAGACATGTACTATGTAGGCATCTGTGACGCTAGAGGCGTTACCATCGCTGTAAGAATTACTCTTTGTTTAGGTCACGTATAGTATACTCTTTTCTCTGTGGGGTGAGCTGACAGATGCTTATAGTTCCGGCTGTTCGATTTGCTATATGTTCGGTGATAAGGTTGTGCGTTGAATGTTGCATGTTTTGCGAATGTGTGCAGAACTGTAGGCGCAGAATGCATTGTTTCAGCGCGAACTGATTGTTGTTGTGTCATCAGTCATCAAATACAGAAGAGAGGCGGTGTAATTTTAACTGTCATCTAAATGTTCTGGGCACTGTGGTAGGGTAAATGAATATTATAAAAAGATCTGTTTTCAATTGGGCGATATATAAACCACCTTGTAATTATGTTATGATTCGGTTAGTGGTCTCCTTATGTTATGCAAAGTTGTAAATGTATTTTCTGTTGGTTCATGTAATGAGTAGTGAGCTTTATTTTATCTTAATTGCTATTTCTGAATTGTGATACTTTTTGTTCTGCATACTGTTCTCCTCTAAAAATTGGATGTCTCATGTGACAAGTTGTTTATTACTATGTCCCCAGCATTATGTTGATATTTTGTTTCCAACATCATTTCCTTATGCACAATTCTCTGATGGAAATGTGAAAATATTACTGACAACTGCTACAAAATACACATTTTAACTGCTCGTCTTGCATGGAAATGCTGTATTAAAATACTGTTGTTCTCATGTCATAGAGAAGTTCAAAATTAAATTAAAATTGCTAACAAGAGTTAGTAATGAGGATTAATTTTTAAATTATATGATAAAATTTGTGTGGTTGCCTTATAATATAATTATACTTGTAGAACAGTGTGTCTAAATATTATTTTAAGGAAAAGACATTCTTCGATACGATTTTACAAACGTGATTGTAAATGCAATAATTACCTTGCCTTACATGCGAACATCTTCCTTTGTATATGTTGTATTATGTTATTGTAGAGTATCAACTTCACAAATATGATTTTACCTCTTGATGAATACCTTATTATTAATGTTTCCTTGGGTAGTAAATTGCTTTTCTGTAATTTTTGAGTCCCTTCTCTTTAAAAGACAGCTTCTAGACCAAACTGAATTTGGGGAAACAAGAAATTTGAGAAGTAAATTCTATATGCATAAGAGTAAGGTATTTCCATAGACATTCACTAATTACATTTCTCTATAGTTTTTTCTAATCCAATAAAATTAATGCTTTGCCGGTCTACTGTAGTTTAAATATAGTTCATTCCTGGTGTATTCTTGATTAAAGATATGTTTTTATGTGAAAGAAGTAGAGATAATTTTTTTTAGTCATGCAACATAACTCTGAAGTAGGTGTCACAAGGAAAGAAATATTGTTAACATTCATCTTTTTTTTAATATCAGTAATAATTTCTCTACTCTTTTTTCCAGTGATCTTTTTGGTTATGTGCGTTTTGATTATACTTCTACATGAAACAAATACATTCTCAAATTGCAGTGGTTTGATTTTGGTTTATGAATTAGGTTTTGAGTAAAGACTTATATACAATGTTATATGGTAGGGACCATAAGGGGTCATCCATAAATGACGTAACACTAGAGGTGAAGGGGGTTTGAGATAATGTTATGCCGCATTAAATAGTTACATGATGTTAGTTCAGTGTTACTAAATGCTGATGTTGATTTTTTTAAAACTTTTTCAATGTTTTCTGAAATTATTCTTTTTATTCAGTCTTATAGTAAAATGTTAAAATATAAACAAATTAAAATTTTAAAAATATAAAGTAATTTAAAAGTTATGATGTCTAAGTTGTTTTAATAAATATAAATATTTTTTATCAGTAGTATATTTATTAAATCTGATAGATTATGAAGAAAATATTCAAAACTTAATTGCATTCTGGAATACAATTCACAGGTATCCATGCATCTACAATGGTATGTGTACAGCTTGTCAGAAATTTACTCATGTATGCCTCCTTCCATCAATTGACAATTGTCTTCAATCTTTATTTATTTATTTATTTTTTTTTTGTTAGATGCAGTTTGCATTGCCAATTAATTCTGTCTTCAATTATCATCAGTTTTAATGTATAACACAAATAAAATTTATACGAATTGTTTTACTGCCATATAATTTATTTTTACTTCTTGTAAATTGGGGGAGTTGCAAGCATTAGGTCATTATTTAGGGGGGGTTGAAGCACGCCATACAAATGCTTGGGGGAGAGGGTGTATTCAAAATCCTGCAAATTTGCATTATATTATAGACAGCCCTAAAAAGACATTCAGTAAGTAGAAAACTTATGACAAAAACAAATTCACATCATAAGAAAATAACGGTTCACACAATATTTTCTTAGATGTAAGAGTTAATTATAGGTCTTACAAATAATGAAGATTTTCACTATTATTCCTTCCATCGTTTCTTTAAACAATGTAGTTTGCACTCTTCATTTGTTCTTGCATGTATTTATGAGTATCTTACTTTAATTTTGCTGATTTCTTTTTTTGTAATTTTATCATTTTTCATAAAGTGTTTAATTATAACCTCTTTAGTTGTAGTCTCCTGGACAAAAAGTAGTTCTCTCTTTTTGAAGAAAAAAAACAACAAAAAAACACTGTTTTCTTTCTTTCAATTTCTCAATACTTAGTGGCACAATTGTTTATTTTCAAATCAATTTATTTTCTTCAATTTAAGTAATTTCTTTAAGATCTGAAACCATGGGGAACATTTTCTCTCATGTCATTGTATTTATCCAATAATTTCACATTCATAGAAAATTGATATTACCACATTAAGTTGATTATAATTCACTGTTGTTATGTGAGAAATGATAAAAATAAATTTCTTTAAACATTTTGCTTATGTTGTTATTTCCATTTGTGTGGCCGAGTGTTTTTAAACTAAAAGAAAAGTTAATTTGAACATGTTTGGTTTATTCGGTCTGTGTTACCATTCACACAATTGTTTAATTATGCATTTTTGTGTTGTAGATACTTTTCATCGAATATGGAGAATGTGAAGAAATTGTGTGAGACAGTAATAAAATCTGAGGAAGACAAGTGTCGTTACAGGGGGCTTGAACTCAAAAATGATCTAAAAGTTCTTTTAATTAGTGATAATTGCACAGATAAATCTGCTGCAGCATTAGATGTTAATGTTGGTGAGTTTTCCTCCACACTGTTGTCCTGTTTTAACATTTTGTTTCTTGAGATAAGCATTTTTCTGTACTTATCCAATTTATCTTGTTTATTTTCCTAGAAATTTGTGAATCATCTCCTTTTTGAATTTGTAAAACTTCAAGGGAATGACATATTTTCATACTAACCTTGGCTTGAAACAAACAAATTTTGTAATCAATAATTTTTATCATGTTTATGTCTGGAGTAAATTGGATGGGGTCCTCCAAATATCAAATGTCACATCATTTGTGAATGTCAGGACATTTTGACTGAGTCCAGACATTCCAAAAATACAAAATACAAGTGTTTGCATAAATTTAATTGTATTATTAATATCGTTAATTACATTTTTGTGGATATTTATTAATGCAATTTATTAAAATTAATTTTTGGTATATATTTTCTCCTTTGCAAGATGTGCCCCATATTTCTCTTGCAGTTAGTCAGTTATAAGAAAATACAAAATTTAAACCTCCATTGATGAACTTATATATAAATTAGTGTATGATTAGGAAATGTTGAAAGCTACAACATGTAAGCCTGGACCATGAATTGGCCAACAACTCCTTTGAGCCAAATAGATGGATGGAAATGAGAGCAGAAGTGTATGTCTATCTATAAGTTCTACGTAAAAGTTCTCATTCCCAAGATGTATGCGTAAATTTCTTTATAATATTTATTTTGTATTAACATTTTCCCATCACATTTATTTGCAGCTATTTTTGTTTGTTTTGTTTTTTAAATATTGTTAGTAGTTAGGAATATTAAAAAAAGGAAAATATTATAATTTAGGAAATAGTTGTGTTTTTGGGAATTGTGAAAATTCATAATTTAACTTTTCACAAATTCATCCAGTGTTTACCTTGTTTTGTTCTAGGGTGTATGAGTGATCCAGTGGAATTACCTGGTCTGGCACACTTTTGTGAACATATGTTGTTTTTGGGTACTGAAAAGTACCCAGCAGAGAATGAGTACACAAAGTTTTTGTCAGAACATGGAGGAGCCTCTAATGCCTATACATTTTCGGATCATACAAATTATTTCTTTGATGTTCTACCCGAACATTTAAGTGGTGCTTTAGATAGGTATTACTTTTATTTGCTTGTTCATGGAGTGTTGGAATTCCTGTTTATATTTGAGTGCCACACATGTAATATATTTGTTTTATTTTGGGTTACTGTGATTTTATATTGTGAGAGGGAGGGGGAGCATGAATATGTGTGTTTGTATTATGAGTCATTCAACTCCATAATAATATGATATTGAAATTAAAGAAGCATTATTCTTGTTTTTGTACAGTTTTCACAAAAAGGCCATATCTAAAGTTCAAGTATATAATTTACTTATTGACATATAGTGCAGTACAGAAAAGATCATGATCTTCTTAATGTGAGTAGTGAACACATACGTGTCTCTCTCTCATGCAATGACAATCCAAACTCAAATTTCTATTGTGCTAAATTTTCTAATTTTCAAATTTGTTGACAATCTATTTGATATGGCATGGTGGCCCATTTATCATAAGTGACATGCTATACTGAAGAGCAGGCCGCTTGGATTCCAGCTGGATTCAGTGTGTTGCCAGGGCTACTTCTACTCCCATCTGCCCTTTTGAATGCCCCACTGCATCCATACTATGAATCTAGTCTCCTCAAAACTGAGCTCAAAATATTGTGAATGTACCTATGAATGAATCCTAACCTGCATGTCAACAGCATCCCTGGGCAGGCCTGCTGTAGACCATAAATGATAATTATTGTTTTTGTGTTACGAGTTGTGGTTTGGTTCGAGATAACAAAGTGTTATGATTGTAAGCTCCCATGTGGGCTAGTGGTGCACTCTGTATTGTGTGGTGTTGTCTGTGTGTGTATGTTTAATTAGTCAGTACATTCTTGTATGATTTTTGTATTTGCAGATTTTCACAATTTTTTATTGCTCCACTATTTTCTGAAAGTGCAACTGATCGAGAAGTAAATGCAGTTAATTCAGAACATGAAAAAAATATACCAAATGATTCTTGGAGACTCGATCAGTTGGAGAAATCAACTTCAAAGCCAAATCATGATTATAATAAATTTGGAACTGGTAAATACTTTTCAATAATTTATTTGTATATACTTTTCAGTGTTTATCTTCTAATGCAGCATTGTGTTTCAGGTAATAAAATGACATTAGAAACCATCCCTAAAGAGAAGGGAATAAATGTTCGTGAAGAATTATTGAAGTTTCATGACAAATGGTATTCATCAAATATCATGAGTCTGTGTATAATTGGAAAAGGTAATATTATAATCCCTTTTTATTTAAAAGCTCAAGTAATTGTTCTTGTGATAATTTTTTTATTGTCACTTCAAAAAATGGAGTGTAAGGAGCTTGGGAAGTATAATCGTATCTAATAAATCGTTAGCATTGTACAGAAATTTTTTGGGAATCTGAACATTCGGTTCATAAAATACAAAGTTTTATACAATAATTTTAGGCATTCCACAAGGGTTAGTACTTTGTCCTATATTTTTTTTTATTATAAGTAAAGTTTTCTAAAGACTAGAAATTATAAATTAATATCATATGCAGATGACACCTCAGTTGTTAGCTATGCTAAAGTCATAATTACACTAGATGAAAAAAATTACAAAATCAATGGAACATATATCTTGCCACGTCTTTTAAGAATGCATAATTTAATCTTATGTATTGAAAAAACAAATGTAATTTACTTTAATTTATCAAATCTATGATCTCAAATAACTATACTAATGTTGAGGTAAAAAATAAATATATAAAACTAATTGAATGTGATATATTTCTTTGAATATATATTGATGAAAGCCCAACTTTCAATAAACACATTAATGATGTAAGTAATAAAATAATCTCTAATATCTACTTAACATATTTTAGGTAATACATGACAACTGATACACTTAAAACAATATATTATGGGATAATACACCCATATATTGCATATGGACTAGAAATATAAGGTAGTACAACCATTCTAAACATGAACAGAATTATGATTGTACAAAAAAGAGCTTTTAGATGTATTTTCAAACTAAAACCTACACAGTTGTGTAAGAATTACTATACCACACACAACATAATGACCTATAAAATAATAATAGCCCTCTAAAATCATTACTCTTTTCAGAAAGAAATCCAGCTCACACCATTCATAATAGTGAATTGCATAATTATAGTACTAGAGGCAAATACATTATAGTACTAGAGGCAAATACATTATAGTACTAGAGGCAAATACGTTATAGTACTAGAGGCAAATACATTATAGTACTAGAGACAAACCACACGATATATACATCTAGAGCATCAACAAATAAAAGACCGCAGCACTCAGCTATCTTATTATATAATTAACTGCCTAAAAATTTTAAAGATGTATATGAAGAAAAGAATTTCAATGACTTGTTGAAAAAGTATTTGATAGGAATGTGCCCCTATAAATTAAAAGAAGTAATGGAATAGAAAATTTATTAATTTTATAATTTATTATGTATGTATGTATGGGTCTTAAGTACTTCATGTATTTTCTTATAAACTGTATATTTTGTGTTAATTTTTGTTTTTTACCATTTTTAAGTTATTACACTTGACAATGCTTGAAACTTATCACTGTATAAGTCTATTGGCAAATAACAAATTTATTATTATTTTTATTGTTTCAGAAAGTTTAGATGACCTTCAGGAAATGGCTGTGTCAATGTTCTCAAATGTGAAAAACAAAACTGTGAAAGTACCTTACTGGCCTGAACATCCCTTTGGGCCCGAGCAAGTAAAAATAAAGGGCTATGTAGTTCCAGTCAAGGATCTGAGAACACTGAACATAACATTCCCGATTCCAGACCTCCATGAGTACTACAAGGCAGGAGTAAGTCAACTACAGTTTGATATGTTAAGTTCTGTAGTGTAATGGAAGATCTCTCCCAATGGTAGTCTGTGTGTGTATATAACATGGCATTTCTTCTCAAATAGAATATATTATTGTATATGCATATGGACAAGAAAATAATTTGCTAATGGGTGTGTATGGAACATTTCACTGGAAGGCTATGAAAGTTGAGTAAGTAAACAAATATGGGAAAGTAAAAAGAGGGTAACTAGGGTCATTTAAGAAATGAATCTGGAGGGAAATTAAGAAAATGAGCTGAACCTCAAAGGAAATGGGCAAAAAGAGACGGTTACAAAATGTAATGAAGAGAAGGCAATTTAATTTTGTGAGACCCGTATTTAAGACGGGCATGTTTGTTTGAAGAAATCAGAAAACACGTAAAAGGAAGAAAATAATGGAGGACATGAAAAGAAAATGAGCTTTAAAGAAATATGAAGAATTTAAGAGGGCGGATGTGATTTGGGAAAATTACTCAACAAGGAATTTTTTTTCACTTTTGAGATTGGTTCTGCTCTGTGAAACAGAAGGCTGAACTTGTTTTTGGTTTGTGGATAATTCATGTGTCATCTCTTCAAGCACTTGACTGTTTGGAAAAGAAATTTAAGGGAGAAGATATGATGCTCCCGTCTTCAGTGCACTTGGTGTTGTTGTTTCTCCTGCTTACTTCCTTGATTCTTATCAAAAATTGATTGATTAGCATACCGATAATGAAACTTTTTTAATTGTCTAGTTTGGGACTGAATAATTGTTAATTTTTCTCTAATAATTGTTAATTGACACCAGAGCCAAAAATATTTGATATATAATAGTGTATTTGTATTTTGATTGGATAACTTTCTTATATATGTGTACTGCAGATGTACGAAGGTTGCCTTTTATGTTTCGGGATTTGGCAACCCTGGTGTTGCAATCTGGCAATTGACAGCTCTATCGTAAACTTGGATGTTTTGAGGTTATATGTACTCAGAACGTTTTGACATACGAGCGCTATTTATGTTGTTTACAGTAACTTAAAAGATTCATCTTGGCCTAAAAATGGAATTAAATTGTGAACATTTTCGTGCGATTATTTTTAACAACTTTTGACATGAATTAACTCAGCAACAGTGCATGGATGAACTTCATTCAATTTTTGGCGATGAAGCTCCATCAAGGACCAGTGTTTATCGATGGTATGGTGAATTCAATCATGGTCATAGTTCACTCCAAGACGAATTTCACGAAGGTCGTCCAAAATCATATGTTGTTCTGAAAACCATTGATGCTGTGTGTGAACTGATATTGCAAGATCGTCATGTGACCTATCGTGAGATTGAGACAACCTTAGGCATTAGTGGGACCAGCATACATTCAATATTGCATGAACATTTGTCTGTCAGAAAAATTTGTTGTGTTGGATCCCACATAATTTGTAATTGCTCAAAAAAAAAAAGGCTTGTGTCGATTGGTCGGAAGAAATGCTCAAAAAATATGATCACGGTGCTTTGAAACACATATATGACATCGTGACAGGTGATGATTTACACGTATGAGACCGAAAGTAAACAGCAGTCGACTGTATGGGTGTTTCAAGATGAGGAAAATCCAACAAAAGTTGTTTGCGCACGAAGCACTTCCAAACATGTGGTCGCCTGCTTTTTCGGAAAAACTGGACAGGTTGCAACCTTACCACTAAACAATGCAGAACAGTCAATTCTGAGTGGTACACAACAATTTGTTTGCCAACTGTCTTCCAAGAAATCAGGAAAACCAGCCACTGAAGACGGATCACTCTTCACCACAACAATGCGAGCTCTCACACATCGGCTCAAGCAACTGCATTTTTGAGCACCCAAATTTGATGAGTCATCCACCGTATAGTCCTGGCTTGGCACCGAATGACTTCTTTTTATTCCCGTACGTAAAAAACAAACTGAGAGGTTAACGTTTTTCAACACCTGAAGAAGCGGTTGCTGCATTCAGAATGCACGTTTTGGAGATACCTCAATCAGAGTGGCAAAAGTGCTTCGACAATTGGTTCAAACGCATGCAAAAGTGTATAGATCTTCATGGGAAATATTTTGAAAAACAATAAAGTGATTTTTGATGATTAATATTTGTTTTTGTTCTCTAATCCTAAAATATAAAAGGCAACTCTCGTATTAACTTCCTTCAAAGGCTAAAAATTTTGATTCTTAAGAAACAGCATGACACCAAATGACTGAATAATGATATCATACGTCACTTACATAAAGATTTGCTGACCGTTTCCAAACGAGACAAATTAGCAGTCGGTGACAATTGCCAAAGAATCTTTGGCTTAATCCACATTACTAAAATTGATAGTGCGTGATGTAACTTAACATAATCAGCATTGCTCATGCGATTATAAGTACAACTAATTTTTAGTAATGAATAGTTTTCTAAGTTTACTGTTAAGAGTTTATTATTCAATTTAAAAATATCTGCAACATAACTTGATCTATTTTTAATCTATTGGGTGTACTTTATTCACTTAAAAATCCACAGATACACTTGCTTTTAAATCACTGCCTCTGTTGTCCTCTCCAAATTTTACGTGCAGAAGTGCCCATGGCTGATTTCCAGTCTTGTCAGAGGATAAGTATTGGGTGTGATGAACTGGGGGAGAGAGCTAGCGGGGCTTGGCAAGGCCATAAGCTGAATGAATGAGTTTGGTTAACAAGACTTCTATGAAAATATATTGTATCTTTATTGGTCAGTGAACTGCACAGCCAGTTTATTTTCCTAGTCAGTTGTAAATTACAGGCATGAGTGGTGGGTGTAAATTGTTAAAGTTTAATCCAAAATGTAAGTAGAATTATGGTGCTGTTTGTGACTAAGCAATTATTGTGCTATTTGTAAGTATGCAAGAACAGCAGTGAACAGGTGGATTTGGTCTGTCACATACATTCTTCAATAGCAAGATAAATACTTGCCTACTGTGGACACTGTATGTCATGCAGCCGAAAGATCAATTTATGCAATGGGAGATGAACATTGGGAAATCTCTACTGTAAAGTTTGATAATGTCATCTATTGTTGAGCTCCCAGCGGGCGATGATAGCCTTTGAGAGGCAGTATCGCAACGTGCCAAGTTGGGAGCAGTTGGGAGAAAACACTTGCTCATGACTTTGTGATGGCATCAAGGGAAGGTGTGTACTTGTGGTCTTCAAAAGATGTGCTTCAATGTTTCTGGTCTTATGGGCGTCCCAGGCAGTGGAGCTGCACGGAGAGACACATCTTGTGAGGTGGACATTGTAAGCAGAAGTGTTCTGTTGTTGGCACCAGTTGCCAGATCTGAAGATTAAAAAGTAGAAAAATAGTTCTTTAAAAGGAGAAGACAGGGGATATTTGTAGCCCAAACATAATAATGGAAGGATAACTATGCAGCTTGCTGATGGAGAGTGGGAGAATACATTCAATGCAATATGAATTGAAAGAATTGTTTCAAAGTTCATACATTGTTATTGCTATAATTATTATAAGAATATGACTACTCACACATGTACTCCTCAAAAAATTTTTCATGTTAGATGGCCAACAGTCGCTCATCACTTTCTAGCATTTCAATGCTCTATTCCTCGAAAAGAAGTTATTTTCCCGTGTGTGATAAGTTAGTTTTCTCCCAAGTGAGAACAATTGCAAGCGCTGAACTGTTGATACCCACAGGTCATAACTCTGACCACAGGAAGCTGCCTTTGCAATTTCCCGTGCTGCCCTGGCATCTAAAACATGGCAAATGATGTGGAGCTTCCAAGAATTGTTGAAATATTATTTCATGCAAGGGAATGGGTAAAATTTGTTTTCTTGATTAAAGATCACATGTCTGGATTAGAATTCAGTAATATGCTTAATTTACATTATTCTTATCTAACCTGTTAGTATTATAAAATATTGTAAAATTAATTTATAATGTAAATGAAAAATTATTTATTACTCATCTAATTAAAATTGTACAACAGTACAGCAGACAAAATCTCAAAAGTCTCCCCATCTTCCCTTTTGGCATCTGCTGGTTCTTCATGATAGATTGAAAAATTAAATCTGAGCATATTTGCAAATAGTGAGAATTCTGAGAATTAAAGAAAGAAATCCTATCCCCATTCTGTTTCGAAGTTTTTGTGTCAGTTACTCTTGAAACTAGCAATGCTTGTTGGCAAACTGTCCAGTCAATGCAAATTTTAGACTATTCTTTCAGTACAAAGTCATCAACTGAATTTTTATTGGTTATTGCTTTGCACAAGAATCTGCGCTATCTGTGTGCCATCAGGAAAAATATTTCCACAATTCATTGTCAGCAGAGACTGGCATTGATTTTCTATCCCACCAATCTGAGATTTCGTAATGGTAAAGCAAATTATTTTTAAGGACATTTTTTTTTTCAAACTCACAAATATATTGTTTGGGTAATTATAATTGTTTGTTGCACAGCAGATTGTCTCGTGCCTAATATCTATCACAGTAGGAAGAAACCATCTTGAAATGTAATTGTAAACTGAAATCCATTGGTGTAGGATTCACTTTAGGCAGTTACTTATTGCTAGTCACCATGTGGGAGTAAGGAGGAGGAATTTTTAAAGGTTCCTTGCCATCAATTTGTATAGCTCTATATATTTATCACTGTGAAAAGCAGAGCTGAGAAACCAGTTACTTTTCTCTGAGCAAATAATGTATGCTTCCTGGAAATTACTTCGATTCGTGTGAATGAAATAAATGAAGTGAATGACAAATGCATTTAATATTGTATTTGGGTTGTCATTTTTCATGTGTGAGTAATGGGAGTTATTAATCCTGCAGAGGATTGATGCATCTTTTTCTTTTTTTTTCTCAATACCAAAGAATTGTTTAATATTGATAACAACATCAGGCAACAATTGTTTAACAGTGTTATGCAGTGCCTCTGCTGTAATAACTTTGGCAGGAATTAATCAGAGGAATTGAGACACTTTTTTTTGAGTTATAATATCTAATACACATGTGTAATGTTGCACACAAGAAATATTGATAGATTCATCAATAATAAGAGAAACATCATGATCCTTAGTATTTTCATTTTGTTCTTGTAACATTGCAGGTGCTATAACATTTTTTATAGTAGCTGACCACTTAGATCTGTGCATTTTTAAATTTTCTGTGTTTATCTCTGTCATTGAACTCGAAGGAAATTATTTTTTTGTTAACTCTTTAATGATCAACATTTTGTATACTTGGCAAGCAACATACTATGCCATACTATGGCAAGCAACAAATACAGCTAATTGAAGCTCAAGTGTAGTTACCATACGATTTTTGAAAATATAGTGGCCAGACTTTGTTGAAAAGGTGAAGCTATGTTTGGAAAATTCCTTACAAGTTTTGCAGTAGATGCATGTTTGCTTAAGTCAGTTTTGTGGGCTCTTATATGCACCTTATGAAGTTTACAGTATGTTTTGTCACAAGTGAAAACCTGTACGAATTAATCACATGGGAAATTTTAAGTTGAATCCTTTTACTTGTATGGATATTTATTTTTCTTTGTTCATCTATTCAGACAGGAAAAGGAATGCATTCTGTCTATAGTATATCTTCTCCCTAGTCTGACCTGGTGTGGACTGGTGTGGCCTGCTTTACCCTGCTCTGCCCTGCTCTGCCCTGGCCTGCTGAAACCCACCCTGCACCTTGCCATCGTCCTCGCCCTGTGCTGCCTTGCCTGATCCTGATACTACCTGCCTTACTGCCAGGTTATGAGTGATGTTGTCATTTCATATAATATTTTTTCATTAATATCAATGTTTATATATCATACACAGACATGTAAACCACATGCGCAGACATCAGGGACTTGGAAGATTTCAAATGACTGCTGCGATTAGTTATCCCATTTACACTTGTTGAAATGGTTAAAACAGACGCATAATTAAATTTCCAATGTACACATTCATACACTTTCAGAAGCGTAATGAAATGCATGCTGGCCTACCCGCAAAACGTTTATCCTTCCCCCTTTATAAAAGTGTTTAGAAAACTCAATTAATAACTTAAATATTAAAAATATCCTTAAACAAATTCATATTCACCAGCCTCTGATTACAACATAAGAAATCAATGTTTTCAGCAGATTATAGCAGGCTCTCTTTTACCCAGGCCCAAACGTTACGCCACTTTACACTTTACCCAACACCATTCAAATACTAGACATATCATTAATTGGGACAGTGAGACTGACAATCAGTGACACTGCATCACATGATTGATCGTGGAAGACTGTGGTCAGAAACACGGCCAACAAGAGCGTGAGCCAGCCTAGATAAGAAAATGAATATGCATGGGCGACCCATCATGGTCATGTAATTGTCACGTAATCCAAAACTAGTGTTAGTGCTGCATATGTTTTCTTAACTATGGACTGGTGCTTCCTGCAAGTATGGGACCAGCATAGCATGTACGACCCGTATGGTGAAATTAGATTGGAAAAACCAACGTTACACACTAATGTACACTATCTGTAACTTAATACTCAGATGATATTACATATACTCGTCACCTGATTTTCTACAAAATGTGTAGTTTGTGATTTTACAAGTGAAAATGAAAGTAGCGTTAATAGTAGTATTTATTTATTTATTTTGTCAAAAAACAGTAAACACTGTATGTGATGTATGGGGGAGAAGATGCGCACACGTTTTCTTGAGTTCCAGAATCTCTTCCCATCATTTTAACTCTAACATTTTAACTAACATTTTCATTTCAACTAATTGTTTGTTCATGTTCATGTTCAACTAATTAGTTGAAAGATGAGTAAAAGTTGTTTTTTTTTCTTTCAAGAAAACAAACAAAACAAATAAAAATACAATTTAAAAAAGTGCAAGATCAGGAACATTTGAAAAACTTAACATTTTTGTTCCCACATTATACAAAACTTATTTGCAATGGTAAACTAACTGAAGATTTGATTTTTCTGCGTTCCTAACAAAATAGTAACTCGCTGTCTGCTCTACTCCAGTACAAGCAATAGGGACAATTCATCAAAATGTGCGCGCAGTGAAGCTACATTTATGTCTAGAAGCAAAAGAAGTCTCAGCAGTCTCATTTGCCCATTGTATCAGGGGAAACTGGACAAAAACCTAATTGAGATGTATGTCATTGACCCAGAAGCTGAGTACATTATGTGCTACAAGTGTATTCAGTCTTACAAAAATTATACAAATACAGATGTAAACTAATTCATTATGTCATTGTTTTGTTAAAATAAACATTATTTTTCTTTTTGATGATTAGTATAGTTTCTAATTGTATAGAAACAGTTGTGCAGCAGAAAAGATTTTACTTATAACTTAAATTTGTGAACCGACTAGAAAGCAAAATTAGACTAGCCGACTAGAAGGCCAAATAGCACTGTGAAAGGGGGGGGGGGGTAAATATTTTCATGTATGAATGGGTGTTCGTTCGTGTGGGGCCCCTGGACATGGTCCTGTCGGTCTGTATGGAACTTACGCCACTGTTATAGACCATTCTCTTCGTCATTCGTTTTTACTGAAGTTATTCAGATGTTTTAGCTGAGTTTTGTCGTGGGACATTTAAAAGCATTTCACATTTTGTCAATTATGTATTATGCCGCAGGATCTGTTAGTACAATTGTTGTGGGTAATGATGTGTAGAGACCGTAAAATATGCAGTATGAAACATAAAAATATATATATATAACTTACGTAGTACCCTCCGTACATAGGTGTCAGAGAGTCTCCTCTGTTTGGTGTGATGTCATATGAAAATGGAGGATGTTTAGAGGTACACGAACCTGATTACCAGCGACCTGGTTGATGCACATACCCCCTTGCACTTCAGCAACATTGGAATGCTACCACCCCAACCTAGGGCCCCCAATTGACGAGCCATTTGGTATATCATTGAGTTTAAGGGGTTTGATTTATGTTTGCAATTTCAAATATTTAGAAAACTCTTATTTTATGTGCTTTATATTTAACAGTACCAATATAGTTTGTGTCGAGCAGTGTTTCCCAAATCTTTTCTCTTTGTGAAGCCTTTCCAGAAACCAAAATAAATTTGTGAATTATTTGAATTCATTAGTAATTGGGTTATTATTAACATTTATTTATTATATTAAAAAATAGTTCCTAACAAAAAACAAAAACAATTGTAAAACATTTCCGTTCAAACAGTAATAGTATTTAAGCAATAGTATTAGGTAGGTTATTATAGTCTTTGTTACCCTGATTATTCTTCTTCCTGGAAATAAAGAGGTTGTTTTTTGTTTACCTCCAGCCTGGACATTATCTGAGCCATCTTTTTGGACATGAAGGTCCTGGAAGTTTACTGTCAGTTTTGAGGACCAAGAGCTGGTGTAACACACTAGTTGGTGGAGCAAGAACGAGCACAATGGGCTTTGGTTTCTTTGGCATTAATGTGGATTTGACAGATGAAGGGATAGAGCATGTGGATGAAATTGTGCAGCTTGTTTTTCAGGTATGTATTTGTTGAGATCCGTGAGATAATGGGTGACTAAAAACATATTATACTGTGTTTAATTTGAATTACAGTATGTAAATTTATTGAAAGCTGAAGGCCCAATGGAATGGATTTTTAAAGAATGTAGTGATATTGCCAGAATGCATTTTCGCTTCAAGGATAAAGAGGCCCCACAAAGTTATGCATCCACTACTGCTGTGAATTTGCAGGTGTGTACTAACTTGTAAAAAGGAACTCCACATCTTAGTGTTGCATAGGTAAAATACATACTGTTGAATAAGGTATATATTTTTATAGTTGTATCCCCTTGAAGAAGTTCTTTCTGGCCCGTACATTACTACAGAATGGCGACCTGATTTGATAGAAATGGTGCTCTCGTACTTGACTCCTCAAAATGTCAGGCAAGTGTTTAATTCATTATTATATTTCTGTGTACATGTGTCAGTTTTAACTATACATCAGGAATTTTTCTTGCAGTAATGGTGCCTTTGAATGTACATATTAGCAGCATATAAATAATTTTGAAATCGTTTCTTAACAGGATGCTGTTGATGAGCCTATAAACGTGTGTTATTAAAAATATATTTAGTGAAGATGAATAATTTAACTTTAAAGATAATTGAGAACCATCAATATCTATTGTATATTTCTTTTATAAATTTTAGAAAGTTCCACAGACATTCAGTAATAAAAATAATGTTACAAAGTGTGTTGTGGAATTCTTGATATTAGTTCACAATTAAAGCAATAAATTTAATGGCTGCCAAGATGTCAAGCTTTCTACAAAACAATACTGCCATGTATGTAAGGCATACATGAACCTTCAATATGTCACCATATACTCTTATATAATGTACATATGAGAATATAGTGATAATGGTGTTTTTGTAACTAACAAATAAAGCTTAATAAAAAATTACAATCATGAATATAACAAATAAAATAGATTAGGAGTCGCAGTTGCAATGAAATTTTACACGCTTATTATTCACTATATTATAGTATATTTTGGGTTTATAATTTGAGAATTCCTGATTCCTATAATGAATACGATTAACATTGTTGATCTTTCTTTACTATGCAGTTCTCTTTTATGTATTTTCATTATTTGTGCACATTCAGAAATTCAGTTCTTGCTTTTTGTTGGAAGTGTTGAGATTTGAAAATGGCTACAAGTACTTGGAGATGGTTCTAGCATTTCTCCACATTCTGGGCCCATTTTACAAATAAAAACACACCCAACACCCAACATAGTATTGTTTAAGCCTGGAACTATGAGATTTTATTCATATATTATTTTTTATATTCTAATACAGAAGTTTTTCCATCCAAAATTGAGATATTGCCTACATATGAACCTGGGCAATATGTTTACATGGATCTTATTTAACAGGTGAATGGTAGGTTGTTGTTGATGAATTATTTCCTTGTGTTCCCTCTTTAGTTTGAATGATCAAGAGTTTTTGGAAATTCTTCAGAGTCAAAGACTATTTGCTATAAAAAAATTCAATTTATTTCTTCCCTTTCTTCTATACAGTTTTCATCAGTAAAAAATACTGTGCTACCATACAGAGAGCAGTAGTACTAAGCAGTATTGTAATTGGATGCCACCTGCCATATCTGGGTATAGATTATGATCTGTACTTAAGTTCTACAGTAGTTATCTCATAAATTTTGAGCTGAATCAGGCAATAAATTCTGCCCGTTCTGTATACCCTTATGAGCTACAATGAAACCCAATGGTGGCAGATTTTGGACACTACCTAGGTTGAATTCAATAACTGTGTGGAGGAGAATTTTAGCTGCTTTGGTTTCTAATGTTCTGTGCTGCTATGATTTGTAGTGTTCAGGCGCATGCTGAAACAGTACACTAAACGTACCAGGAATCATGTGTGCCCTTTCCTTCCCTATTAGTAAGAGTTTTTCTAGAGAAACAGGAGTCTCATCTCTCCAGGTTTCACCTGAAATATCAATATTGTTTAAGCCATTCTCTGGGCTCTGTGTTATTTGTTATTATCTCAGAGTTCCAAAAACTATCCTTGGTGCTTTGTAATGTAGCCTATTTGAAAGATTTATCATCTCATATTTACATCAATTACTTCATTATTGGTGAATGATAATGTAATTGAAACAATTTCAGCTGCTGACTCAGCCCAATGGCAAAAACTGTTGCCATTGCAATGACGCTGAGTGGAAAGCCTTGCGGGTTCAAATCGTGACTTGGTGGATGTTTAACACTTAAAGCTAGGGCAAATTCAATCAATGGTCAAGAATTCTAGCGGTCAGCTGCTATGATTAGTAGTTTTCCATAGTTTCACTAATCAGTAAGGGAACAATATTTTAACAGCACTCTAGAGAATATGAACCCACGAACCATGCATGATCATTCCTTCCTCATCTTTGTTGCCTCCTTACACACTCATACTTACACTTAAATGCTCTACACTACCATGTCGGGAGCTTAGAGCTTAGCCGGGCTGAGGCACTGCCCTGCTAGGAGAGAAAACTTTGCCTTTGCTGTCAATTGATTTTTTCGTATCTAGAACAAACAAAACATTCATTTTGGCTACACCACCAAATAGAGGATTTTTTTCTTTGTAAATTTAGCAACAGAATTTATCCAGTTTTTCGTTACCAGTGCCCGCAATGAGGTTTTTTTCTGGTGAACGTTTCCTGTCACATGATTACATAACTGTCTCTTCATATGAAGAATTTGTAAGGTGCGAAAGTAAATATGTAATTTTTGTTAATCAGAATTTTTCCTGGTGGGGGGGTTGGTGTAGTGTGCACTGACTTGTTTTCTTATCAAGAATTTTTTATTGATACAGATTATAAAATATATTTTATTTGTTGAATTATAGTTAACATTTATAACGTTAACAATTGGTGTATTGAATGACTTTCATATTTATAGAAAATGAGTGAAAGCAATATTTTTGAATATGTATTGTTTGCTTCTGGGCTACTGAAGTCCCAACAGTCCCTGCCCCCTTCCTTGGGTGCCACTGGGTATTTTCGAAAAATTAACACAATTTGACTCAATATTATGTGAGAACTACTAATGTATTGATTCTGGAATTATTGTTCACAGAAGTAGTTTTTTTAAAAACATTTTTATAACATATTTTATAACATTTCAGTCAAAACCTCGAGATCAGTTTTTTGTGCTATTACATTATTTTCTCTAAACTATGTGTATAAAAATGCAGAAATTGAGTAATCTTTATAAAAAAGTATAAATTCCTTTTACTTTCTAATGGTTGTGAAAACTGTTGGGTTATTTGTGAAAACCACAATCCTTATTCAATTGTTCCAATTAAATTTCCAAATAACACTAGATAAGTAACATAAACTCTAAAACAAAAAAACAAAAAAAATTCTTGAGACAAAAGACATTGCTGATGATTAGGGGCGGATTTCGATGACCTAAAACATGACCAAAAATAATCAATAAAATGCTCTTAAAATGTTTTTAAAATGCCCTAAAAACATGGCAAAATTACATAAAAAACTTGGATAAAAAACACTTCAAATGAACAACTCCAGCTGCTGGATATGTTACTGAAGTAACCAAGACTTCTTCCTTATGCACAATTCAACTCACCTCACAAACATTTGGTTTGGACTGTTCTTTACAAGGAATTCTCTGCCTTTATTTATTGCAAAATCTGCCGAACTGGCAATCGCACCAATAGGTGTCACAGGATCAATACTAAACTATAACTATACTAAACAGAACTGATCTAAAGTAAAGAAAAACAGACATTTCATTAAAATCTGCCCCCTACTTATGACCCTTGCCACATTTCATTGCATTTACAGTAAGCAAACTTTGAAGAAAGATATTTGAAAATTCACATGTCTGATTTAGTTCTTAAATTTTTTAAACCTTACCTGCCCCCTCAGATTATTATCACCTTAGGTGGATTCAACAGAATACTCACATATATTGTATTTTTTTTAAACCTCCTATTAAAAAGATTATATGAAGTGAAAATAGTAATGATGTCCATCAGTGCTTTCTTCATTCTATTAGTATGTGGTGAATTACCAAAATTTCTTTTATTGCGACTCCTAATACCACCCACACAGGGGTACCATTGCAGAATGAAATACATTTATTTATGCCAATATAGTTTCATGTTTTGTGTTATTTGTGATGGCTGTTGAACTCATAGTTATAATTAAATTTAAAAAATACCATATGTCTTAAGAATGGAAAATAAAACTCTGAATTATTGGCAACCAACACTTTTTATTGTGATCTAACCTTAAGAATTTGTCTGAACTTTAGAAAAGAGGATGATAAAACTATTACAATTAGATATTCCATGTTATGTGGCGTAGTTTTTCTTTATACACGAGACCATTATATCAAATCTGTATTTCAGGGTTGCAGTTGTTGGAAAAAAGTTTGAGCCCATAGTAAATGAAACAGAAAAATGGTATGGAACAAGATACAAGTTAGAGAAAATACCGGAAACAACATTAAAGGTGAAACATTCTGTATTCTAATTTGCCAAAATATCTTCTCAGTTATTTTGCCAAGGAAATGGATCTGAATTGATAATGCTTGTTTCTAGATGTGGGAAAATGCTGGCCGTTGTGAATCCTTACATCTTCCACCTGTGAATGAATTTATTCCTACAGATTTTTCCCTAATGCCACGAGAGGAAAATGTGAGTAGTAACTTCACTTGAGCTTTTTTCTGACAAATTAATCTGGGAGGATTTGATTTAAATTATGTGATCCAATTTTACTGATTTGATAATATTTGATACATGTATATTAGACTTTAAAACTATGAAAGGAAATTATGAAATTTTTTTTTGATAAGTTAGAAGGACTCAAGGCAGAGGAGGACAGCATATTGAAATACTTCAATTATCACTGAATTACTGTACATCTCAACTGGGAAATAATTTTCAGTGTTATGTTTAGATTTCTTTTTACCTTGATGTAGTCCATGATGTTACATCAGCTTTTTGAAAAGAGTTGAAGCTTAAAAATTTTGGAATTAAAATTTAAAGAAACCTTGATTGACAAAATCTGACAGCAGTATTTTTTAGTGTCCATTTCTCTTTCTGATTATTAAATCTTTTGATAAGTAAAACAACAATTGAAAATGATTCGACAATAGGGAGACCAATCCATTTTTTATATATATATTTTTTTTTTGTTGATCTAGTTGTTTGTTCATCTGGTCTTCAGACGGTCCATTTTCTTATTATGATACTGGTGTGTTGTGCTGTTTTGTGGTGTTATATGTATATTCTTGTTTTCAAGTGCTTTATTGATGGATTTGCTCTAATCACTGCACAGTCTCATCTTTTGGCAAACTAATGGTGGTAACACATACTTTTTCTCATTTTTTGAAATGGCTACATATTGTTATAGCAACTTGCATTCCTCTACTTCTTCAGCCAGTCCATGAAAAAATCTTCAGCAACAGAAGTTTGGCAGATTTGAATTAGCAGTTATCGAAATGCAGTGGTTTGAATGAAAATCACTACCTACTTATGTAAGCTCACTTGGCTCTAATTAAGGGGAAAAGAAATGATGAGAAACATTTCCCTAAGAATCATTACAAACAAACTCCAGCTTCCCAAATAGCATGCCATAAATAATTCAGTTAGTCTCCCAACTCTTCTGCTAATTTACCATACCTCACATTACTTTTAAAGAAAGGGAAAATGTATAGTTAAAAAAGAAAGAAAGAAGAAAAAAAAAGAAAAGAAATTCAGACTCTTCATAGGAGATTATGTCAAGGATTGATGTCCTATGATCCTAAATCTATGACTAAATTTAAAAAAATACACCTCCAATGTAAATATTATCCTGCAAATTATTTGTAATGTTACAAATGTTACATTTTTGAAAATTCAAAAGTTTTAATAAAAATGGCACTTATGCGATTTAATTCAGTGCATTGTATTTTGTCCTTACAAAAAGTTCTAAGAAATAATAGAAGTTTTCAAAAAAAATCCTGATTATTTGTGAATTCACTCAAAACTTTCACTTAAAATTGTAATAAATACTAATATTTTGAAAAAAGTGTACATGAAATGATTTCAAGGAAAGGTTGCATTAAATGAGAAATTTTGAGTTTATGAAGGTGTTGGACATGTTCAAAAAAAGTTTAATTTGGTTTTGCCGGTTTTTATTTTCTTACCTTACAGCACACTACTAGTAATGAGAAAGTTTTGTAATACTGTAGCAAAAACTGGCAGTTTTTCAACAGAAAACCACATAATGTGAAGCTCTGGTATCAAAAACATAAACAAATAATCCTATTCCTACATGTAGTACATTACTCCCTTTAACATGTGTAGTGTAATCAGAATTCATAGTTTTTAGTTGTTGATACTGAAAAATTAATTGATGGCAAAATGTTTGTCCATCCATTTGTCTATGGTCAATGCTAGTGCCTAAACCATTGAGATTATTTTCTCCTAAGTTCATATCCCTCAATCGATTTCAAGAAAAAATTTAAAGAACAAATTTGGAGCAATTTTCGAGATAATTTTGTTCACATATATTTGAAAACGGTGACTTCACTCGAAATTATGCAAAAACTACTCATTTAAAAAAAAAATTTAACATGAAATTATTTAAAGATCAAGGTTTAGAAAATAATTTCATTTAAAAAATAATTATCTTCAATAATGTAGTTAAAGAAAGAGATCCAAAAAGTTTAAACCTTTGCAAAATTTGGAGGGACTTTTGAGTGTGGTTGTATTGATTATGAAATATCCATTTTTGAGTGAATCATATAAATGGTCATAAGCCCCTCTGTTGTACATGGATGGACAAATAGGCAGGCAGATGTTTTTCAAACACTTTTTCAGTGTCAGGGACTCACTAAATTTCCATGAAAATCTTGATTTCCTTTTCTTTCCTTTTTTTCCTTGGCATCACAATTATTTTTCTATACTACGTGTACAAGAAAGTAAAAAGAGGGGTAAGAAAAAGGAGCATCAGTCTTTGTATATTGCTCAAACTACATCTCCAGAAACTGGCTAGGCTGAGAAAACCTTTAGTTGAAAAGTAGCTTTTTACCCTCAGAATGTCCAAGGGTGAAGCTTGGAGTCTTTAATCTATAGTCTTTCTTTCTGCACTACTTGAATTTCTGGTTGAGAATCCTGAAAGACCTATTAAAATTAGAAGATTCTCATGTGTTCAGAGGTTTTGGTATTTCTTTGACAAACTCTTTCATTCACTTCCAAAACATTGGGTGAGTAATCTATTCGATAATCTTGTTAAGAATCTCTTCAAACTCATTGTGTTCTTTCTTCAGTATTCACTACATAGTCACTTTGTATGTGGCCCAACATTTTGGTCAGGACCATTTAGATATGAAGTGATGCTCATCAAAGCGAGATTGGAGAAAATGTTCTCTCCTTGTAACTTTTGCTAAATAACACTCGCATCCTTTATTTTCTGTGTTGCTGGGAATTAGTGTTGTTCCTCTTTGTGCCTTGCAGAAATGTCTTAAATTTTCCTTTTAGTAAAATGAACTACTGTATTTCTTCAGGTCTTAACTATAGATCTTGTGAAAGGTGAAGTCAATTTTACTATTTAGCCTTCCAAGTGGTTTTTGAGTTAATGCAGAAGAAACACTTCATTTCTAGCCTGCAAAATACCCATCCATTATCCAAGATACTGCTCTAACAAGAGTTTGGTTCAAACAAGATGATGAATTTTTGCTTCCAAAAGCAAACGTCAGTTTTGAATTTGTTAGGTGAGTTTTTTCCCTTATTTTCTGTCTGTATATATTTGTAAATGACTTTGACATATTTTGTTTGAAGTTTAATATATTTTTTGGGGGCAGTCCTCTAGCATACTTGGATCCACTAAGTTGTAACATGACTTACATTTTTGTGGAACTCTTCAAAGATTCTCTGAATGAGTATGCGTATGCGGCGGAGTTGGCTGGCTTACGATGGGAACTGTCAAATACTAAATACGGTATGGTGGTAAGTAAAAACATTTGTAACTTTATTGAATTATTAATTGAAACCATTCAATTGAAATAGCTTTTTTTTTATTCCAAGAATTTTATTTGCATTTTTATGCGGAGGTGAATGGGTGTGTCACATGGGTGGAAGGAAATTTTAAAAACTAATATCTCAGGAAGAGCATTGGGATATACGTGCTCTGATTTGCAAGTTCCATGATCTTATAACTAACTTTTAAAAATAAGTTATAATAATTATTAATGTAAAAAAATTACTTCACTACTGTGGATAACACGTATTGTGATGCCTATTTGCCCTGTCAAATTGTGACAGTAGTGAGAAAGTCATTAGGTGTGGGTTTGTCCCATCAACCTCGTTCCTACTTTCGACTCGTGTATGTACCACTGCTCCTTTTATATTGCTAAGTTGGACGTTGCCTGACTGACCTCGTTCTGCTTTATATTGAATTCTGCAGTAGGTGCCTCAAGTAACAGTCATTGTTCTGTGATGAGAAGAGCACACGCACGAAGCGAATTTACCCACGGGAACAATTATCACTCAACTGCCGCTTGCCTCACTCCCTCTGTGGGTCGTAAATCTGTCAGGGTGTTGTCTGCACGGCTTGGCTCTTGCATCCTGTTTCGTTATGCCTTCGCACAATACATCTTTGTTCATGCACCTTCAAATATTCTTAATTGAATATAATTTCTTGATATACTGTATGGATCTATGATCCATCACAGTATCATGTTTGAACTATGATCACACAGTATTACATTCTTTGCATGACTACCTTAGCAAACTCACATCTTTTTTAAATGTTTCAATTAATTATTGTTACTTATACTTAACATAGGTGCAAAATGCTATGGTTTTATATTTTACAGGATGTGTGTAAAGTTTATTCGGATTTGAGTTTCACCATTTTATAGCAAGTATTTTTTGTGATAGTTGATGTCAATGTTTGCTTCCTAATAAGTGAGATTTACTCCTGGGTAATTAAGTACGTCAATTGCCTACAGAATCATGTTTCAACAGTGAAGAGTGATTTAATATATCAAAAGTCTTTGGGATGTCGGTACAATACCACATTGATTTGATTTTACTATTGAAATTTTTCTAATTTATAATCATAGGAAATACTCAGTTTTGTTTAGGTTGAACATATGTTTGTAAAATAATGTTGTTAATTGATAATAATTGTGTTAAATAGTACTGATCCTTTTTTGTAATTAAGGATTCAAATATTTTCTAATAATGCTATAAAGAATCTAAGGAAAGTATTCTTCTCTGAGAGACTTTACAAACTAATATATGAAGAATTCACCATTATAATTGCACTAGAATTTTTTTAGGAATAATGCGATCAGAGTCGGGTCTGGGCCTTTGTCATCATTAATATCTTCTTTTCTTGAAAAAGTTGAGTAATTTCCAGTGAATTGACATTTAATTTAAGTTTGTATTAGGATTTTGAATAGTGATTGCATCTGTTTCATTAATTAAGAATGATTTAAAATAATCAGTGACTAAATCTACAGTATTTTTTCCGGAACTGACTGTTCTCTCCATAAAACTCAGCATTTTTGGTATACAGTTTTCATACTTCCAAAATGCATTATTTGCTTTTGTTTTAATTTTTATCAGAGATCAGGAAAACACATAATCGATTTCCAAAAGTGAAGATTTGTACCAACTATGTTCCTTGCCTTTTTTGTTGTAGATTTTTCAGTTCTCTTGATTACTATGGGGGTACATTGTCTTCATAAGTAAACGTTTTTAAACATTTACCTATCAGAAAATAAATAAAATTGTAAAAGTATAACATTTTCAACTCAATAATTGTATTAGAAAACTATTCAAACCGGTTTCAAGAGATCTCATCATTTAACAACTCATAGTCTACTTGTTTGAAGTAAAATTTTACTCAAGTGTAATTTAACAGTTCAAAACTTGTTAAAACATAGTTCAGGAGCATGTTAGTAGGTATCTTTTAGGCTCTAGCATAACTACTGCTGGTCCTGATATTGCCTAGGCTCCCTAAAATATTAAAATGTCCTTCAAATGTCTGTAATCCATTTGTTAAAGGTTAGTTCAACTTTATAATGTTAAAAATTTTAAGCGGGGGCCCCTTGTAAGTATATATTTCACTTGGCATTCTGAGTGGTAGTTACTTCACTAAAGCTCTGGTAACCCATTGATGAGTTTACAGAAACGAAAACCTCAGTATAAAATATGATGTCTTGTCAGATACGTGCAATTGACTGAATGAGTAGAGGTACACCTCCATGTTCAAAATTGCTCATCTGTAAGCTCCTACCAATTTGATTGATGTTGTGGTTAGGAAAAATCAACTGTGCTCGAGTTATACTAGAATATAACTATGTTTCAGTTAAAATGATTATATCTGAAGGTGGCTGTTGAATGGGGACCAGTGGTTAGTTTTGTTCCCAACTCACAAACCTGTTGATAATACAGTAAAATCTGCCCAAACCGAAATCAATCGGGGGAAAAAAATATTCCTGTTTAAGGAGGTTTCCGTTTTATGCAGGGTTGTCCCTTTTATGGCACTTGTTATGTTGATATTTCTGTCTTGAAACTCATGATTTTATTATATTTATAGAAATATATTATCATGTGACATATTTATGGAAGAAATCACCAATAAATGAATATTTCACATTTTTCTGACAGTTAATAGGAAAAACTTTACAACTTATACACTAAAAATAATACTTTTTGCAAACATTCATCTACAGTTTTTTGCTTTCCGGTTTTTCACTTACCAACAGCTTTTCAATTGTTTTCTGAAGTTGGAAAATTTTAATATTTAAGGTTTTGTTTTTTTCAATCATTGTGAAACTGGCTGTGAAACTCATAAAAACACCACCTCACTGCGTAGTGGCTGCACCCAGACTGCTCTCCGACTCTCAACACACAATGCGTCACAACCTAGAGTACTGTCTTTCTGATATCGTCGCATGGCCTTGACCAATGCTTCTCTGGCTGAGGAGTTACGATTGTCAACGTGGGTCTGGTAGCTGCGTGAATACAAGCCATGCCCGTGCACCTTCCCACGCTTAGAGAGCCAGGAGAGAGGGAATTCCTCTACTTCTTATGAGACAAGAGGCCCCAAGGTCGAATTCTACACTAACAACTGAAGCTCCTCGCCGTTACTGTTTGGCTGCCATGAGTGAAACTCATCACTGGGATGGAGGAATTAAAACAGACTTGCAGATGCATTGATTCCATAAACACGATCTCGCATCTCTCTGTCAAATACATTGAACTCGCAAAGTCCTTTTTATAAAGGATTTTTTTCCTAATGGACTTGAAAATCCACTCCATTTCTGCATGAGATTCTGTTTTACGTTGGGTAAAATGCCATTTAACTTCATGAGTCGGAGAGATTTTCCGTTAGAGGAAGGTTTCTGGTTATACAGGTTCTGGTTTAGACAGATTTTAATGTATAGAGGATGTGCTTCAGGATTGCCCGTTTAGTTTTCCTGCTTGGTAGAATCTATTAGAATCATTTTTGTCCTTGCGTGAAATGAATTTCGGTATGCCCTTTTATATTTTATGTTTTCTCAATCCAGTTTTTTCACCCACCATATTCAGCTGGTTGATAATCTTTTTAAGGTAGAGACTCCTCTGCACTTATGTACAGTCAGGATCAATTTCCATTGGACTGATTGTGTTCTGTTCAAAGAATTGTCACCCCTTGTGGGACTTGAACTCGGGGTCTCATGGATTACATCCAGTTGTTCTAACCATTGAGCTATTGACACAAAGGTGACAGGGTGGTGACAATTATATATATCATAAACGGACAACACTCAGGCCCATGAAACTGTTCAAAGAATTGGCCGTCACCTTAACTCAGTGGTTAGAGCAACTGGGCATAAACTAGGAAACCTGGCCCAAGTGACAATTCTTTGAACAAATTTAATTAATAAAATGCATTTGTTAATCAGTAAGGTCTCAATTCGAATTCATTTACGGTTGTAGAACATGTTTCCAAGCATAATTGCCTCCAAAAAAGGTGACAGGGTGGTGAAAATTATAAATGATAATTATAATAAAAATTATGAATAATAATAATGATGATAAAAATCAATAATTAAATTGACAGTCAGTAATTGAAATTAACTTTACAAGATCTTTATATCATTTCTTTGTAGGTAAAAAATATTAAATATTCTATATTTATTCTGATTGTAAAGATCAAGCAGAATCCATCGTTATTTAACATGTTTTTTTCTGAAGTGTCCCACAATATCTTTTTTATGTATCTTCTGTTCTAGCTTTAAAATTATCTAACAATATAATTTTCCGTTGGGTTTTTCAATATTTTTTAATTGTACACATATTTAATTTTTCATAGAACTTGTCCTTCAATAAAAATATCATATTTTTACTAATACTATACTCTGATAAAAATGAATTAAATATCAAAAATTACTCATATTTACAAGAATTACTGTTGTCGGTTTTTGCTTCCCAATTGTATGGGGTCATGCAAGATGAGAATTTAGTTGATTATGTTTTTTTTTATATGTGGTTATACACAAATTGTGAAACTCCTTGTAACTCAGTTTGGGGAGGTCCTAATGGGCATGGAATGAAATGGGTTAAATGCATTGTACACAAACACTCAATGAATACATTCATTAATATTATTGAATATAAATTTACACAGAAAATGCACCAATCAGAAAGGAAATACAAAACATTGGGGCACAATTAAACTCTTGTAATTTAGTTCCAAATCCAATATCCAATACATTTCTGAAGCTTCAGGGTCATTCAGGATAACGTAATGTTATTCTTCATGGCTGGTCACAGAAGGAACACTCGCGTGTATCTGGAGAAGTGTTGGTGTGATAATGTTGATGTTGCAATACAATAACAATACGGTACAACTTGCCTATACTTTGGGAGAAAAATACATAGTACAAAATCTACTTCTTGGTCTCAAGGAGTATAAATTATGTACATATGTACATGATATTTATATTTGCTTGTCGTATCATCCACCAAAATGTTTCTTTAATCATAAATGAAATTCCACTCTTAGCTTACTTGTCTTTTGTCACTCTCTTCAGAAATGAATATATGGTGAATTAAGTCCACTTCTTCTTAGTTTTCATTAATAAAATAATATCTTAATTTAGATTCTTCGGCTCTGATCTAATGTCTACTCTATTGTTATTTAATCTTTGGACATTCCACAAACCAACCTTAAGTTTTTTTATTTTCACCTCCTATGTGTGGCAGCGTGTAAAATATTATTGGACATAATAGCTTGAAGTAAATATTTGAAATGAACTAGTAGCTGGCCTTATGTATTAATCTCCTTTGAAAATTATTTACTTCAGAAATGTAAAAGATGTTAAATTTAGATGTACATCCTAAATCACATTCAGCCCTACTAATAAAAGCTTGGTGTAACTTTGGTAAAACACGCTTATTCCGGGAATAGTTACTTCCAGCGTAAGTTCGGAATAAGGATGGATTAAATTTTTACCAATAATGGCGCTAAACCGTAAGCTTAACTAGTTCTTGTTAAATACGGAATCAATGCTTGCAACGTTGGCTTCATACACAGTCGTTGGCGTATATTGTTTATTCTTTGGTGCCCTCTGTAAGGATTTGCAGGAACTTCCCGTCATGTTTGAATACAATTTTTCACATTTTTTCCTGATTGTTTTTATTGCATGGTAGTTAGTGAACTCTTATGGATGAACAAATTGTTTTGGAAATACGATAATTTGAATGCTGGTGTCCGTTTAAAAAAATTAAATTAATGACTGAATGGGCGTGTGCGGTTTAAGGATAGATAAATGATTGCCAGAAAGAGCACAGTTGACAATAAATCTGACGAATGTCATGAGAAAAAGATGTGAATTCGGTGAAATAAATAAACGTGTTGTTCAGTAAGTTTATGAATATAACACCATAATGCATTTATAACCCTTTTTTCATTTTTCAGTTTCATTTGTGAAAAGTTTAAAAATGTCTCTAAATCCAAATAATATAATAATCCCAAAAACACATTAAAGAACTTAAAATTGATTTTTTTTGAATTCTGTATTCATCTCACAAAAAACACTTTTATAATTTACTTACTTCACATGTATCTAAAATTTTGCTTTAAGACCACATTATTTTCCAATTCTTGAATATATTAATGTTTTCCTTAAAAGCATTTCCCATCCTCCGTAATTTAAATAACTTATTCCCCTTTTCAATTTAATTTTTTTTTTACCAGAATGGTATTTATTCAAATATAGTTACATTTATTCTTTAATATTTGGGTAATATTATTTACCTTCAAATTATATGCTGGCATCTTGCCAATATAAATTATTGGCAAACAAAGTTAAAATACAAATAAATATAATAAAAAAAAGGAGAGTTACTAAACTTAATTGGAGATGTTTATATGATTGTTGAACAATAATTGTTAGAGAAGAAAAATCGTCCATTCAACTTAATTACCAATTAAACAGCAGTTTCAATTCATTTTACTCATATGCCATTAGGAACACTTAATTCTGATATAAGGATAGAACATTATTTAATTTTTTGTGCTGTATAATTGGACACTGCTTGTGATCTAAATTTATATTGAATTTATTGCTATTTGATTTAATCCCAATTATATGAATTAGAATTTGAAAAGTGAAATTGTTCAAAGCAACGCTCATGTCAAGTTGAATTTTCCTTTCTCACCAAAAAAAATTAATTATTTTTCATTTTTGTTAACATACAACTAATTGAAAATATGTGTAAACAATAGTGAGTGAATGAATTAGTTTCTGACCATATTAGAATATTTATTTTCTCAGAATATCTGTTTTTTATTAATACATTTTCTGAACCATTACCTCCGAACTAATATAAAAAATACTTCACTAAAATTATTTCACTTAAAGGAATGTTAAAAAAATTAGTTTTGCCTTCTCTTACTACAGTATATCTTAAAGGCAGGGATACAATTAATGCTTTCAGTGAAGTTGAAGAGTAGGTTCTGCAGAATTATATTGCATAACATTTTTTTTTAATTTACATTGAAACCACCAATCCACTCCTTTTTATATGTTTTCCTAAAGGTAATTTCTGTTACTGTACTTTGCTAGAGATAGTTGATGTTGCAGAGAGGTAGAATACAAGACAAGTTCTTGCACTTTTTTGTAGAAAAACTAGTAAATTACAGATTTAAAACAGGTAAGAAATTAGCAGTATGGAAATTAATTTTAAAATACAAAGTTTTTCTCAAAAACTCAATGAAAATAATTTTCTGTATTCTTGAACATAAAGAAGTTTATTACCTAAAATTTAACTGTTCAATAGCTGGCAACACTGGAGCATATTTATAAAATCAAAAATATATCTATTATCAAACATACAAGTAAACTTTTTATTTGAATTAGTACATTCATAAATGTTTAGTCAATTATGTATCATACATTTTATTTTAATTGTTCTCTTTAAGTGCTCTCCAAACTGCTGGCTGCTCATCAAACATCTGCGACTATGTAGTAAAAGTAGTCGACTTGCTTCTTTATCCACATGAAATTCGATTTTTGAAAGCAACGGCTCTGCAATATTTCTGCAGTCTCTTCTGAGCATTGAAAGCAGCTTTTCAATATAACAAACATCTCTAAACAGTATTTTTTTTCTTGTTTTTCATGTTTTTTGTGGGATCTAAATTATTCATAGAGGAGAAGTAGATTTCAACAAAAATCTGCCATGAAATTTCTCATCTTCAGTCTTTGTTTTAATTGAATCGTTGAAAATATGAAACAGTGTGTCATGTCATTTTATTTATTTAATTGATTAGGATAACACTATTTACTTTTTGAAATAAAACAATGTATATCCTTAATTTTCTATGCGGTATTGCACGATTAATGATTAAAAATACTTATAATGGACCTGCTATGGCTATTAGGGATATGGTTGCTTACTGTTAATGACACTCTTGAACACACTTGGTTAACTCCTGCGTACCGTCCCACGAAAACTCATTTTTATTTTGAAATTCAGCCGAATCCCTTCAAAAAGATTCACCAGTGTCCAGTTACTTTTTTTCACCCTCGGCTGTCCGTAACATTTCATCAATGTGTTTAACTTCTATTCTAATAAGAACGCCAACAAAATCACTTCGAAGTTTCCAATGCAAAAGTCCAAGAAAAAACGAACAAATTAATGATTCACGAAATAAACTAGGTTGCCAAATATTCCAGAAAACACAAGAAAAGAAACTACAGGCGAATTGAAAATTAGATATACAATGAAGCGAAACGCACAAACAGTTCGTGCTTATTCACCTCTGTTTTTCGTATTTCTAGTTTATTTCCCGGTTATTCCACACTTAACTATGTGTCTCCGGTGTTTAGGTTGCCATGGAAACTATACTCTCTTATTCCGTGCTCGAGTTAGTCCATTGTTTTATTGTAGGCAGTTTTTCGCTAATTATCGCTGCTCATTGCTGGGCTTAAGCACAGAATAAATTTTACACCACGTATATTGGTAGGGCTGATTAAGTCTTAAGCAGGGCTATCTGAAGTTCTTTATAAGCAATTCTTATTGTGGCTTTTAAAATTGCGTATGAAGTTTTGTATTATAAAAGTGAATTCCTAATAATTTTGTATATTTCTTTTTAGCTTGGAGTATGTGGATATCACAGTAAACAACATGTGTTGCTTGAAAAGATAGCAGAAAAATTGACATCGTTTAAAATTGATCCAAAAAGGTTTGAGATACTGAAGGAAAATGTAAGTTAATCTCATTAGGTTCATTTATATTTTATTTGAGGTGAAGGTTACTTGTACATTAATATATTTTTTAATGGTTGGTGCAGTACATCAGAGGACTCAAAAACTTTGAAGCTGAACAGCCATACCAACACGCTATCAACTACTTATCCATCATTCTTGCAGAACAAGCTTGGATCAAGGAGGAATTGCTTGCTGCATGTGATGGTGAGTTTTGTTTTTCTATTTTTTAATAACTGGATTTGCTTAAATGTTCGACCAGGTTAATCTAGGTCTACATTCGACAAACAGATAATCATTGAATTGTAGTATATCGGGATCGAGTTGCTTATTTAATAGTTTTTCCATTCTTTTACAGATTTACATTTGGAAACAGTGCAAAGTTTTATACCTCAGATCCTTTCCAAGATGCACATTGAGTGTCTTATTCATGGAAATTGCACACAGCAAGTGAGTTGCCATGTATTATTACTTTATTCTCTCTCTTTTCTGCATGAATTCTATTTTTTCTATTTCTTTTATATATTCTTATATATTTTATATTATATATCTTTATATATTCTATTTCTAAATTTGCCGCCTTTCTTTCAGAGAGCTCTACAACTTGTCAGTTTGGTTGAAGAACGGATACGTTCAAGTGTGACCTTATGACCATTACTACCCCGCCAGCTGCTTCGGAATCGAGAGCTGCAGCTGGTGGATGGTAAGTTTCTGTGAAAACGTTTTCTAACAAATTTTTGTGTGGTAATATGTCCACTTTCTTCTCGACTTATGGGTTTTCTTTAATTCCGTCACCTCAAGTTGCGAGCAATTTTTTAAAAATTTCAATGCTAATACAAAGGTATACGTTGATATAATCACAACGCCCGATTGACATTGTGTATTAACAGAAGAAGAACTGAAAAGATTTTAGTGAGTTTTTAGTGACATTAAGTACTATTTTTACTTCGCGTTTACGTAATTTTTTGCGATATTAACTAAACACATTATTGGCTAATTATAGCCGGTAGACAGTGGCTTGGATAACTCGGCACGTTAACTTGCCGGTGACACGGGGTGGAAGAAATTTTTATTAATGTCTTTAATTAATGTCACATTAAATGTCTTTTTTATTTCATATGGGACAATTATTACGAAAAATAGATGGCTTTTGAGTTATTTCAAAGAAAGTCAAAGTCGCTATTTAACTTTTTTTGCTTGATAGCAAACCTGATATTAGTGTCAAGTGACCTAAATAACATACGGAAACCAAATTTCAAAACTACACCAAAACCTTCCCTTATTTTCTACCATTTGACGGGACTACATACCAGTATTATTCTTTTAGGGACTTCCTTGATATTCAGGATGTTTTTTTAATTTATTTATTTATGTCAAAAACCGTTAAAAACTGTGTGTGATGTGCTATGTCACATCTCTAACTGGTTTTGGGGTGACGTGTATAAGGTTGTTCCTCAGAAACGTACTTTTGTAAAGTATTTATTGAAAATGAAAATGTATACATGTATACATTTTCATTTTCAATAAAAGAAATACGTATGAAACAGTGTATCAGTAATATTTACATTGTAATATTTAATGAATCTTATAGTTTTATATGCCTTGAATGTTAAAATTTGAAATCTGTTACTAAATTGCAATGCGCGCAGAAATTGAAAGAAACCTTTGGAGCTTACGACCTTGTGAGATGTGTCTATTGTTTCTATGGATATCCGGGTACTAGAGGAAGTCCCAAACATGTATATAATTAATTTGTATGCGCGCAGAAATTGAGAAAAAAGTAAGCTGACCAGTTGAGTGGCTTAGGGCATCAGTTGATGTCAATGCAGTGTCGCTGAGGCTCAGAGAGGCTCCGATACTGAAGGTATATATACACGAAGCCTCTCTGGGATAGATTTTCTAAGATGGATATTTTCAGAATCGGATGTGCTCAGTGCTATCTACTGAATAAAATGTGTTAATTCGTCCAACGTGGTTCCTGAGAGGAATCCATTTGATTTATTCATAAATAATTATGAATGACAATTATACAACTTTTATCATTACTAGCTTTTGTTTGAACGCTTAACTTATCATAAATGAAAATAAGATTCCCATGCATTAATATAGCTTCTTCGTTCTTGATTGATTCTTGATTAACAGTTTGTTTAATAGTCTTTAAATTTGTTGGCGGCACACTTTCGCAAAATCTTCATCACGCGCATTGCGTTTACAATTAAAATTGTTCTTCTTACAATTGTAAACGTGAGAGGCGATCCTTTCTTTGCATTTTGTGTTGAAAACGTCGTATGAGATGCGTCTAACTCCGCATGTACTTGAAAAATTCCTCAGCAATGAGTGAGAATCAAATGTGCGTGACACGGCGTTGTTCGGGGCTGTTCTCGACGGGGTGTGGGCTTGCTGCCAACGGGAGGGGTTGATGCTCAGAGCCGTCTGCGTGCACACGGGTTTGCGCGTGAAAACTTCAATTCATTCCGATCGACGTGTGGGCGTGCTGGATACGGGGCAGTGTCGCCGTGCGGGGCGGGCGACAGCTCCTTGTCTGGCCTAAGTGGTTGTAAATTTACGATCTCCTTAAGAGCGTCTCGAGAGGGTGGGAAAGAAAACATCTGCACCAAGGGTTCTTTCCTCGCAAAGAGTGGGCCCCCTTAACGAGATCGCCGTTGGTGTAGAAACATGGGACGTATCAATATAAAGCAAATATATTTATTTCAATAAGTAGTGTCAAGTACTCTTTAATTATTGATTCTCAACTATAATTTATGTGATTAATGTTAAAAGTGTTTTTATGTAGTTGTGTGTCAGATTTGTTCTGCAGCAAATTCGAATTTTTGTGGAAAATGAAAGCGATTTTCTGTAATTTAAGCATTGATGTTTTTGTTGCAGTATATATTTCAAATGCAAATGTGGTTTCGTTCGCAGGATGCAGTTACGTTTTTCAAGTGGAAAACACGCTGCATCGCAGCTCATGCGCTGAAGTCTACTATCAGTGTGGTCTGCAGTCCACGCAAACAAACATGCTCCTTGAATTACTTGTTAAGATCACAACAGAACCTTGTTTTAACAACCTTAGAACAAAGGTAAATAAAACAACCTAGAATATATTGGTAGGAATGTTACATGAAATATTAAAGGGAAATTGAGGTGTAACTATTGTAACAGCGTAAGTTTATAATACATTTCTGACTTCATTGCTAAGTGATATAAATTGAAAATCTTGTATAAAAAATCTTGCTATTGTTCGATAATTTACGTACTGGCATTCAAATGCATTATCACCTTCCTGCACATTTCAATCTAAATTATTATGTTGCAAAAGTTAGTAACAAATATGCTTCTATTGACAGTGAATTGATGCCTAATGTTGAAATGTTTATTATAGGAACAACTGGGCTACATTGTTTCCAGTGGTATTAGGAGAGCCAATGGTGTGCAGGGTCTCAGAATAATTGTTCAGTCAGATAAACATCCAAAATACGTTGACCAACGTGTAGAGGCATTTGTCCACTTTATAAAAGTAAGTAGTGTTTTCCAATGCTCCTTTTTGATGTTGTAAAAGTAATTTAAATTATCAAAAATGTGACAATTGCATAGGAGAAACGCAAAACAAGCAAGAATCCTGTTTGTTTTTGTGAACATTATGTGATAATTAACTGTGTTTTAATTCCAGGATTACCTGGACAATCTCAGTGATGCTGAATTTGAAAGACACAAAGAATCGTTGGCTGCTCAGCGTCTTGAAAAGCCGAAGAGACTAGCAGCTCTGTCTGCCCGCTTTTGGGCTGAAATTACATCCCAACAATATAATTTTGACCGAGCGCAAATTGAAGTAGCCCATCTACGAACCTTACACAAACAAGATATTGTTGATTTTTATGATGTAAGTTTTCCTACTAGTGGAATTGAAATGTGTGTTTTTAATGTAACTTTGGTTTTGATTTGAAGCTCGAGTAACATAAATGTTGTGTCAGTAATTGTACAAAACTATAATGTCAATGAAATGTTAATGGCGAGAAATTTAATTATATTGTTTAATAATTTTTTTTACATTGTGTCAAGGCATTGATCTGTCCCCACTCGTCAAGGAGGCGCAAACTTGCCATTCATGTTCTTTCCATGGCGGAAGGGGGTGCAGGAGCAATACATGGAGATGACGTAAAGGCTGCTGATGGCCTAGTGTTCTTGCCTTCTGCACCAGATATGCGAGAGGTAAAGGATTTGATAGGTGTGCAAAACACCACTTTAATTTAATTTTGCAGGTAGGGTAGGTCAGCACCAATCGTACTATCCAACGGGCGAAGATCACCGCCACCTTCCGCGATTATAACATGCTTTACACTTACAGGGTTAATGGCCTTAGCAGTTGATGTGCCCGGAATCAATTGATCAAAAGTAAAAAATAAAACAAATTGTTTGCTCAAAACGTAGCAAAAATTTGAGCCAGGGTTTATGTTTATAATCTTCGTGACTAAATATTTTAAAAGTAAAAGCATTTTGCTAGAGTAATAAAATATTTTTTGGAACATGTTAATATAAATGTTCACATAATAAATCAAATAAAAAATGCTGTGTGATTACTTCAATAATTTTTTACACCTTCATGATCTTTTTAGTTTTCTAAAAATTAAATGACGTTCTAATTTTAAAATATTTCAGATTCTTTTACAAATAATGAAAAGTAATACAAAATTATAATAAGAATAACATAATATGTATAAACAAAAATCCATTATGTGAAACTTCACTTATGCTTTAAAAAAATGTATTATTCAAAGCTGTGTGAAGGCTTGTGAGGAAAGCAGAGATTCTAACTGAAGTGTGTAATTATCGTGATTTTGCTGGAAATGTTATAGACAAGCTCACTCATTCCCCTTTTTGTTGAAAATATGTAAAATAAATTGCTACTTTTACCACATGAAAACTAATTATCAGCATGATTGGAATAGGCAATTCTAATGTAACTACTTTTGTAGACCAGCAGCTTCCGGATCTGAAATTATACACAATATAAAACTGGTTTCTTCACCTCTTAGCAGAATATATTTTTTTCATAGATAGTACCACGAGTGCTTTGGAAATTGTCAAAGCGAGGAGGATATTTATCTAAGAATTTCCAATGCAGGTTTTTAATAGGATTATTCCATGAATGAAATTATATCCAAAAATGTTCCAAAATGTTTCAAAATGCACCAAATATTGAAAATAACTGAAAGCTATGTTAAAACCAAAGAAATAATGTCATGGACATCGACCTTGCGATCGACCGCCTCCTAAGATAAATGATTCACAGTTTTTGATTGGCCAGTAGGTAGAAGGGGGTAAAAAAAGCGAGAAACTTTTTGATGCCCTGATTTAGGCATTTTGTATGTATAGTTAAACACATTGAATTTTACGAGTGGAATAGTCTACTTAATCCTTTGAGCGTCCCCATTCTATTACTCTGCCTCTAATCTGCATTATCATTGCTGCTTTTTCTTACAGTGAACAGATACTGCCACCAGAAATTTCGATCTGTAATTCTGCCTCATTTTGTCTGTTTTTTTGCATAATTGATTGTTTGACCCTTCATCACATGACCAGTGATCTTTTTCCCTTAAAATATGTCATATTTTCATATTTTAAAATGTATATACATCATTGAGGTTTATTTATTTGACTGTGTTTCAGGCCACTAAAATCGAAAACATCACGGATTTCAAGAGTACTCAAGCCATGTATCCACTGGTTCAGCCATATGTCAAGATTCCTAAGCCAACTAATACGAAGGCTAAACTCTGAGTGTTGTTAAGGGTGAAGGTTAGTTTACATTGCATCATGCGTTGTTGTAGGTAGTAATTTTCCAAAGACAAAACCTATCGGGTGACAAAAAATTGTGTGTTGTTAGGCAAATGTAATTTCTTTGTTAATCATTATTATTATGACTATTCACGAACACACACAAAGGTGCTACAACAGCACATACTTTCTGGCATCAGTAATGATTACATAAAATTATAATATCGCTATTTCTTTTCTGATCAACACATCTCAGGTATCACTTCTAAAACTCATTACTATTCCTAAAGCATTAGGCTCAAAATATTTCGTTTTAAAGAAAACGTTTGAAAATGTGCCTTCACATAAATTAAAATCAAAATCAAAACATTTGTTTCATAATCAACCAGGTTTGGGGCACCAGTTAGAGGTTACTAGAATACTAAGGTTGAATATTGATATTCAATCTTAGTAAGGTGGGTTTTCATTTCATAATCTGCTTAATTTATTTTATTTTAATTATGATGCCCCTTTTTCATAAAAGATATCTCAGTTTATCATTTTGTTGTTTGTTATTTGTTTTTTTTAGTGTATTATATCTAACTTGGTAACTTACCTATGGAGTAACAGTATAAATATGTGCCCTACAGTCTTGAGGAGTGAACAATAAAGTTCTGAAATGTTGGTGAACTAGGAGATTTTTATTTAAATGACCAACAACCATTAACCATTTCTGAAATTAACAGTGTGGTCTTGAATTCATGAGTTGTAGTTATTATTGTTAATATTATTAATAACAATAATAATAATTATTATATATTATTATTATTATTATTATTATTATTATTATTATAATATATACGAAAAATGTAAAAGCCACATGAAACCTTATTACATATTTGTCTTAAGATATTGAATATGTTCACACGTGTCAACAGTTCACACGTTTAACTAGGGTTATGGTAGATGTTAGAAAAGTGGAGAGATTGACTCCTGTAGAAATATAGCTTAGAACACTCCAGGGGTTTACACTTAGATTATCATTCTGTTTCGTCTCCAAAGTGTAGGGGGCAACCTAAAAAGTAATTACTCCTGATGGTAGGGTAAAAATTGTGTAAGATGTTTGATTGAGCATCTAGGTAATTTTTTTCGTTTACCTTTGTATCAGTAGCGGGTTCTTAGGGGATGGAAGGAGGAAAGCCCTCACATTTTTTTTTCTTCTGAATGTAATTACCAAGTATTTGCTTTGATGTTTGAAGGAAAGTATTTAATTTTTTAGTTGATAGCTAGGAGAAATATGAGTTTTTAAACTATGCAGGCTTTTGAATGACGCTATTACGATCGAAAACGTTCAGTCAACTCTTCATGTTCTCCTCTTGTGTAGAAGTTGCTCATATCTTAAAGCGTTCCTCCGATCAGAAGAAGAAAACTTTTTAATAGAACTTTTGAGACCGAGAGACCGCCCTTGCGTGAACTGCCATCGAGAAGTCTCTTTCAACTAGATCAACACGCCTCTAGCCAATGAGTCAAGAGTGGAGGCTGTCGCGTGGTGGCACAATTCTAACGTGTGCCTGCGGGAGGCTAGGTAAAGGGGCAAATCGAACCAATACATCTTTCTTTCTAATCTCATCTCTTGATCCAGTCGACACATCTGATCGAATTTGCTGTCTTATCATGCTTTTCGTGAAAATTTGCAACACCCAGAAGGAATGGTCGGAATCACTTAAAAATCGATGCATTTGTAGAACAGTGTATCTATAAGAAGTGATTAAATTTGCATAGAGATGGCGTGCACGTTGGCCTAGCAGCGCCCTCCTTTGTGTGGCAGATCAGGGCACTGTTACGCTACACTCGGTCGGTGTAGAGCTGTCAAACGCTCTGCTCAAACATCAAACGAATATGCTCCCTTGGCCCGAAGTCTCTTTCGCCACTGAGGTTGTAGGCTCGATTCCCGTAGAACCCCCGTAGAACCCCCGTAGAACCTCATGTGAAATTGGTTACGACAAAACGAGTTTGCATGCTTCACAGGGGCTAGTCCTACCCCTGTGAAGTGTCCTAAACCTTATACCAATCCTAATTCCTTTCCAATTCTGAGTAGATGCGCAGTAGTGGGAGGTGCGCACGCGGAGATGCTACTTCGCGGTCCTCTTGACAACTTACTGCGACGAGACGTGACGGTTGTGACATATCGAAATTTTAATGGAGGATTACTTCCGCGCTGATATCAATGAACGATTAGTCCTAAAACTCAAAGAGCTCATCGCCCCCCCCCCGGGGTTTGAAGATGCGTTGCGTCAATTGAAGACGCAACAATTTTTTTTAAAAAACTACTTGGAAACGTGCAAGCAAGTGCCGGCATACAGTGTCGACACTAAAGGGAGCAATATCAACATCGAAGTGAGTTCGAACGGGGCAGAATGATTGGTCTTTGGGAAGCGAGCTTGTCGTACCTTGACATTGCGGTTCGAGCGGGGCGCGCATGTAGTACCAGTGCATCGAGGAGGGTCGCACACTGTCATTTTGTCCGCATGGCAGTAAGCGCCAGAACGGCGTCGTCCATAGTGTTGACTCGACGTGGAGCACTTCAGCGGGTGTGGTCATGTCTGCGTCGGCACGCATCCAACGCGTCGGATTCCGTTGGCCAGAAACCACCAACGCCTCAGACAGCAATGGGCCCGTGAGCGTGTTCTTGTGGGCTAAGAGGCAAAATGCAGTGTTTTCGGACGAGTCACGCTTCAATTTGTGCTGCAGCGATGGGGATTACAATCAGCCAGCCTGCATTGTTCCGTGCCATAGGGGGTAAACGCCAAGTGTGATGGTTTGGGGCGCCATTGGTTACAATATGCGATCTCGACTCATACGTATTTACGGTAATCTGGACAGCATCCGATACATCAGGGAAGTTTTAGAGCCGGAGGTACTACAGGATGGCGTGAGCCAGGTAAGGCAAAAACCAACTTGATTTTATTCGCATTAACCTGTCCAAATAAGGTAGTTTAAATACGGTCTTCTGTATTCACTGAGAGAAAGCATTTTACGTTGGCGACGAGATAAATCTTAGTAAAACTGGGTTCTGTGCAAATATAAGTACGTCCGAGTGAAAAGGTGTGTATGCGCCCGAGATCACGGAGACGTAAATAAAGGGAGAATCTGGCAAAATGGATCGAAATTCGGCCAGAGAATTGGAACGTTTTTCGGTCAACGAGGGTATTGCGACGGTGGGAACACGTTTGAAGAAATGGATGCGGTCATTCGAGTTGTTCGAGACAACATAAACGAAACTCCTGCAGAAGTAAGCATCTTTGTTACATACATTGATTGTTGTGCCAGAATTAGGAATTGTATATGATTTAATATCAACAGCACTGGAAAACGTAAGTAAAGGTACCATACGAGAGAAAGTTTTTCGGTTTATCTCAGCAAGTAAAAATCTATCGACATTTACGTAAATGCGAATACAGCAGCAAGCACTAATGTGTGATTTCGGCGACGGAAAGGAAATGGTTCGAGATATGTTGATGAGAAATAGTTGTGATGTGTTGTTCAAATGGATTACATCGGCAATTGGTGAAAAAAGGGAAAGCATTGATATTTGCACGGGCAAAGGAAATTTCACGATTATGGGAAGCGTTAAACACCCAAGCACAAGTTATAACTTTAAATTAAGTGAAATTAGAACAAATTAATCTTGTTAATTTCAAGAAAAGCAGCAAAGTAAACATGACAACCAAAATGTGCATGAACACTCGAATAGTAAATGTTACCGCTGTAATCGTACAGGACATATTGCAAGAGACAAGAATTGCCCTACTCGGTCAAGTATTTGTCAAAAGTGAGGAAGAAAAGGACACTTTAAAATTGTTTATAGAACGAAGGTGAAAAGGAGACTGGAAAGGGAAAAGGAAGCAAAGACGTGCGACAAGTCGAAAAGAACGCTGGGGATAGCGACGAAGGGCCAATGAGCAGCAAGTATGTATTCAGGTCTTGGAGATAGCCGACGAAGGCAATGAAATTGATGTTATTTTCGGTGGAGTAAAATTTAATATGATCGTTGACTCTGTTGCAGAACGCAGCATTATTAGCAAAGAATGTTGGAAACAGGTTAAAAGGAGTTGAATTGTGTGTAACGCGTACCGCTAGAAGTGTTTATCATGGATGGAATAGGTGGAGCGTTTCTGGGAAGGACAGCGACAGCGGTGCGAGTGCTCCAGATCTACAAAGAGGTGGAAAAACTTCAGGAAAGGGAGTTCATCGAGGAATTCAGTAATATTTTTGCGGGAATTGGTACACTTAAGGATTTTCAGCCCAAGATTCCTATTGACAACTATGAGTCCAATTGTTCAGCCAGTTCGAAGACAGCCGTACAATTTGAAAGATCAACGTAAGTAGATTTCATGATTTATTTAAGTGGAGAAAATTAAGGGTCCCACGCATTGAGTGTTACTATTATTGTGTCAAAGAAGGACAAAGTGTGCAAGTTATGTATTGTAGCTTGTTGAGCGGTCTTTTTATAGTACCACACCCGCACCCGTTTTAAGAAAACTATGGCCTTGACCATCGCGCAGCATCGAGTGCTGCCCCACCGTCGCGTCGCGGCGTCTTTTGACTCTTCAGAAACTTTTTGGCGGCGCCTCGATGCGATGGGTACGTGGTGGTCAGTATCCCGGGGATGTCACGCAAAAACAGACCGTCTCATGCAGCGGGTCCCTAAGGGTCATAAACATATCCGCCCGCGGTCTATCGGGACGATCAGGGAGGCGGGGGAAGAGGGTAGGCCGGGCCGGGCTGGGCTGGTCAGATACCGCGCTAAATGTCGCTCCGTGCCAAGCGTTTTGATTTTAGATCGGGGGCAGAGTTGATCGGCTAGTTCACGGAGGGTGTGACGTTACAGTATAGATGTGAGAAGAGATAACCAGGTTGTTCATATAGAACAATATCCAATTCCTACAATTGAAATTTTACAAGACCTGAGTGAATCGACAATCTTTTCAAAACTAGATTTGAAGTGGGCTTATCATGAAGTGGAACTGGATAAAGAATTG